TTCTCGTGACCTCTGTAGGAACTCGACTTTCGTTATGAGGTGTCATAATTCTTCTTTCAACTGCCAAGGCACAGTTTAAATGTTTTGAATAATTCTTGGCGTTTTTTATCGAGTTAGTTTTCCACGAGATAGGGTCACTAACCCTATGCCCAACCCCCCCCCGTTATCCGGGCCTGTGACCGGCAGTAGCCTTCGAAGGGGTTACAGGCGGAGTAGATTATTGTTTACCTGTATGAATAAATTGGTCAATTTTAATTTTCTTCACTAGTGTAAGTACACTAATGTCATTGACTTTAAAACGCCGTATGCAGCGAGCATCTCACCTGAATCTAAAGGGCTCAATTTTCGTCGACTTGTTGAAATACAATGAAAAAGGAAATAAATAAGCATGTGAATGAATATTTAATGTTTTATGTAATCCATGAAATTGAAAATCTCTAATAATGTATTGTGAATTCTTACCAATTCCAGTTAAATTTGGAATTACTATTTGTGGAAGGTGAATGTTCAGATGTGAATTGTCCGAAAATCACTATTACAGATAGTTAAACAATGATGATATTGGCTTTTGGCAATGTATCAAACGGAACCAGTCAGGAAAATTTCACTTGCATGTAGGACATTTATAATTCCATTTAACAGATTCAGCTATAAGAGGTTCAATGATCCATTTCTTCTCAGTGGTGTCATCCTAATGTAAGTTATATATGTTTAAAATACAGGTATTCACCGATAATCATAACGAAGGTTTTTCGTGTACTACTACGTATTATGTATCACTAATTGAACGAATTGTTACACTGTGTTTAAATATTTGATCCATTTTTGACAAGAATATCATGTTTGAAGAAGATAGTAAAGTGGTTTATTTCTTTCCCAGTACAAACTGTTGTCATTTTTATGTAACGTCACATTATAGCGATTGATCATACTGAAATGAATGTAATGAGAAAATCAACACCATCACTTATTAGATATTCCAGTCATCGACTAATTTGACAAGTTTTGAAAGCTTTCGAAAATGTTGAACTGAGAAGTTGAGCATCTTGTTCAACCGTTTCACGCATACGTATCATGCAGAACATTTGATACATATTACTATGATCTATTGTATCTGTGAGTTTAGTATTTTGTTCACGTCTCTTTTCTGTATTTCAGATTGATCGGTTTAGTCCATGGATTGATAATAATTATCATTAGGAAACAACATTCTTCAACTATAATAAGCAGTATCTTCATCGTTATAACCGTCAGTTGAATATAATTTTAAAATTACATTCATGATATTTCCATCCATTTATCGATTGAATTTAGTGTAAATTAGTTCTCCGAATAATCACAATGTTGTTGTATTAGTTTGATAACAGCGGTCGACATAGAAGAATCTTTGAATGTTGACTTGAACAGATGATTTATAATGTTGTGTGTTAATATGTCATTATGCGTAGAGATCCAGTTCCTACATTTTCACTGATTTCATAGAAATGTCATTGTATATAACTCAGATTATTGGTGGTGAAGTTGGATGATGAGCTATTACATGACTGATAATTGGTGAAAATAATACAACCTTAAGCAGTATCTGTCCATGTTATGGATAATTCCAAAGCATGTAGATGTGGATATATTTAATACTTGTACAGAACTACTAAACAAATTAGATTTTTGTCATTTTCATTTGTATAATCATCTACACACATTTTTATCTTTGAACTTGTTTTTCATGATACACAAATCATCATTTACTGTTTCAAGTTTCAGTCAGATATTACTGACCGTCTAATTTGTTCGTTCAACCAAGTTATTATCATTCACACCATTTAGGTGATAAACCTCACATAACGTGATCATGTCAGCTGAATGAGTGAACTAGCTTTGAAAATATTTCAAGTTTGTCATTATGAGGGACTTGGATAAAGATTCTTTGTTATGCTCTTCGATCCACAATTATTCATTTTCAATCATTTCAACCGAATGCAGGACAATGAAGATTAAACTTTCATTATTTCTCCCGTTGTTGACCCATTAATTTTCTGGACTGATGATGATTTGACACTGTCTTTTCTCTATTCAGATGATATCTATGGATGTCGGTGTTGCATTACTAATTTCACTAGAAAAATGGTATGAAGAGTTTATTTCTGTTCTTGTGGCTACCGTGTTCTGCGCCTTAGCGATTTTCATAAATGTAAAGCTACAAGTATTACAAAGAAAATGGAAGATATTATCGTTCACGATGTGTTGTGTATTTGCGATAGCTGAATTCATTCTCTTTGTAATAGGGGTGAGATTGGAAATGGTAAGTTTGTCTAATCATAGATTTCCACAAACTAGTGGTGAGTAGTGATTATTATTGATCTACTAATGGTTTACTCGAATAGTAACACTTCCTAACAAAATACACTGGACATCAACATCAGCGAACTGTTTCCAGACAAAAACATTGTACACTGAAATGGAAATACATTTTCAGTTCACATTTCATTGAGGAATTTTGGAAAGATTTCTTCTTTCTCCAATACGTGTACAGCTGCTTTGAACGTTTATCCACATCATTTTGCGGTCATTGCAAATACAACAGTGTTTTATACCACGTCATCACGTATAAATTGCAAAATGAAACCAGTTCCCTTTACACACTGTATATTTTCAATACAAAGCACCATGAAACGATGTTATCATTTGAGTAGTTGATTCTTAGTACCATTTATTATGATTGTGTATCAGAATGGTGCTCATAGCAAAACCAGAATAGAGCACCCTTAAGTAACGTGTTGACATTTGTAGAAACACTAGCTTCTTTACAATCAATAAAGAAACCAATTCATTGTTTAGAAAACTGTCAGGCATGAGATAGAAAAGAAACATGATGTCGAAATCGGCAATAACATACTGACTGAACTCTTCAATGATGTGGTGCATAGTAGTTTGAAAACAGTAGTGTTAATTAGTATGGTCATACTGTTTCATCACTGATAATTATATATAAATTTGAGGAATTGAAATCAAATTTTTCTTTCATTTGTTTTAGAATGTTTTGATAGGTGCAGCCTGGATTTGTTGGTGCTTCATAATGTTTATTGTAAGTTCTAAGTAAATAATAAAGTCTTAATTTCAATAACTGTCAGTCAAATATCATGCATCCAAAGATATAGTTCTGTAGAAATTAGGACTCCGAAGCATTAATGTTTTCTATCCACAGCATTCACAAGAATTCATCCTGAAACATTTCGATAAAAGCATTACGAGATGTAGAGCCGAATGGTTAAAGGGGAGACATTGAGTGGTGATGCATTTATGACTGACTTCGTTCCTTTAGTTGAATGACTCAATCTTTATGATGTTCTGTTATGCAAACGATTATCTGTCAATATTTGACAGATCAAAACACAAGGCACTTACTGTTCATTTTTTATATATCAATGTTGAGAAACTGCTAAGCTAATAAACCTGCATCTGCAAATGCTTATTATTTCACTGATACATGTGTTCATATAAATACATCGATAATGAAGTAAACATCTACGTTTTCCTTATTACAGGTGATTATATCCACAATTGCATATCTGAAAGCATGCCGTGAATAAGAACAGTTTTCTACATTCTACAGTTTCTTCCTGCTGATTTATGAACATATAATACTTGTCATCAATGTACTATTTACTTTAAATACATTCATCGATTGTCATTCGATCAGTGGTAATCTCAATATGAAAATGATTGGGCACGATTAATTGATACACTTCTTTCCAGTGCTTCAATTAGTTTACAACTATTCAGAGATATACATCTGGGGTATTCTCAACATTATTGTAACCTGCTTATTTATTGATAATAAATGGATATTCGCCTGTTCGATTAAATTTCTGTATTGATAATATTCCTTTAGAATGCTAACAGACATTGAAACACATTTCGATCGTACTTGGAGCTAAAACAAACCAAATTGGCTAGAATGATTTGTTCAAATATCGTATTTCTCGAATACACACGTGTTGTGACTTGGAGAAATAATTTATTATTCAGTGAAGGATTTTGTTAGTCTGAAAATATTTGAGCTGAATGGTATTCATCGACTCTCTATACAACATTCCACTATCCTTTTCGGCAAGAGCGCAGGTGCTTGTTTAACTCTTCATACAAGAAAAGCTTTTATTGTGATTGAATCTTTAGTGCCGCGTCACTCTGATGGACCCCCGAAACGTCACTAAACTAGTTGAATGGATTAATTATCATCTGTAATGGGAGTTATCGTATTTCCTTAAGTGAAAACTGATTTATCAATGGGGCACTTCTTCCAAAAGTTTTGAGACAAGATGGTTTAGGAGTTTTCTTTAAGAATGGCTTGGTAAAGACTGAACAACGAGGTTTTCCTAAATTTAGAATGTGCCTCGAGGTCTTCAGATGTTTTGACAAAGAACCGCTTTGAATTTATTATCCGACATACTTGATATCACATCCGCGATACGTACAATTATAGAGGATACTCCGCTTTTTTAAAATGATCAAAAAATAGTGACTAAATTTGTATTACGACTTCACAATATCACAGGTGAAGAATAGTTAAGACGATGGAATCTCCTTTTCACATATTATTGTGAAGTTACAGCTAGTTGTACATGAGCGTTTGGTGTCTTGTCAATCAACTTGAGTGCTGAAATGTTTTGTTTACTTGACTGAACAAGTACCAGTCATTTCCGAAGTTATCACAAAAATTCTCTAGGAACTATGGCCTGATATATACGAGTCTCAGCTTTGGCTCCTCAGTTCAGTGATCAGAAAAAGACCGGATTTCTTCAATTAAACAGAGGAAAGGAACTAGCATAAACTGATCAGCCTAATACTTTTTACTACAGAGTACGGGGGAAATTTACTGTGACACCATGAAACAAATATAAACAAACCATCTGATTTGCACAAGCTCATCGCAAATATATTGTTTATTGTATACCTACGTACCGTAAATTGGACGTCAAGGCCAATGGTTCCCAAAATTTCAAATGACTACAAACGACCCTTCGAAGGACAATAAAGCTGATTACTTGAGACGCTATCTCGAACCTGTGGGTAGTAAGAAGAAACGAAAAGCAGTTAACGACATCACAGTGAAATACATCTCGTAAGTCTCCAAAATAAGTCAATTCTTCAAAGTGCATCGTGTTCAACATCCAGCTGGATTAGACTTTTAGGATAAAGATTCAAGGAGTTACCCCCTATGAAAACCACCTGTCTCGGTTGGCAGTTTTTTCACTTGGTGGAATTTTCCCAGCGGAAGCTGACCATACTGAAGCCGTACTGCTTTGTTGTCAGTATGATGTGGACTTCTACTCGTCCAATAGCTTTATCCATATGTTTTTCAAACTACAAGACATGTTGATCTACAAGACTTCAGGATACTAAACTAGCAAAAATCTGTTCTGATTTCCTCAAACATGCGCCATCGATGTAACGTATTATATCAATATCTTCTCAATAAACTCCACTAAAACAATTCAGTACACTTTTAACCTCGATCGAGCCCCATTCTTATTTCCTGTTACCTAATCTCCTTAAGATGTTGACGAGATCGATCTTTCATTTCGCATTATTCTTCTAATGCGAGAAAACAATCCTTTCAATAGGTTTAGTTGTCATGTTTCAGCTGCTTTCCATTTGTTGTAAGTCATCTTTTGATGATGACCCTGTGCTCATTCCAAACGGTACTCATTCTTGTTCAATCAGTCATTTATACTAAACACTCATAGCCTAGGGAATTCTAAAAACTCCTAGCACTCCGTCGTCGTGGTGCGTAATTCAGATCACGCTCCAGATTAACTGTCTATTTCTAGCTGTTTAGTAATTCACTTTTGGTAGCCCGAAAGAAGGATTAGTTTAACCGTTAGGGATCCTTTTACCTAGATAATTATCCTTAAGAACAGTACGAAATTATGACAATGTCTTAATACTATATTTTTGTTTGTAATCTCACGTAACCGTTACTTCGTCTAATCTGTTTTACAGTAGGTATTTGTCTTTAAATTTGTTGGTTTTGAAATGGTTTGCTTTCATTGTCAACCTACCATAGAAATAAGTTAGTGAACCAGTCCCCCTATTTAGATAGTGGTCCATTTTATATTCTCTTTATTTTAGTGGCGATCTCCCTGAAACTTTGGATGCATTCTATAAAACAGATGCGGATAGTTTTGAATTTCCATCAGACCCATCGTTCGTAGAACCATTACCTACAGTGGTTCGACAGGCAACTTTGCTCAAAGATAAAAAGTCAAAACAAGAAGACAAATCGAGAAAGGAAGCAGAGTTGGAAGCCAGATACGATGTATGGAATAAAGGGTTTGTTTAGTCGTTTGAATAAGAAACACCTTTTTTCTCTAATAGCATTAAAACTCTAGAAGAAACTTATAATAAACTCAAAGAACAGGAATATGAAAGCTCAAAACCACTGGCACGATATGCTAGTGATAAAGATCTTACAGAACATCTAAAGTCACAAATACATTCTGAAGATCCTATGGCTCAGTATTTTGTCCGGAAATCAGCTAAAAAGAAGCAGAAGAAGAAAAGCCACAAAAAGAAAAAGCACAAACGTAAGTCCACACACATGACTTTCGGTGGGTATACAAAGTTTATAGTTGTGCTTTTTGTGTATCTATCTGGACTGGCTACTTTATCTTACATTAAAGGAATATTGACCACCCGATTGTCCATAGTGACATCTCAATCGTAGACTTTTCATAGTTTGTAAATCATCCTCGACTTTCTTAAATCAATAACCTTCCGATGGAACATTTAAATGTTAATGTCGATGTAAGCTGTATGATTTTGGAAAGGTTGACCTACAAAGTTAGGTGGTCATAATCTAAAAATATGATTAAGACATATCTTGTTAATAACTCAACCGTTTAACATAAAAACCGATAGCAATTAAGAGTAGTGAAAGTTGAATAGAGATCGCATTAACATCAAAGCATAACGATAGGCTTGTTGCTAAAACGGTTAGGAAATAAATAAAATGATGCAAACTAAATAACTTAGTCTTTTTCTAATTATGTACTTCACCACTACATGGGTTTCAACTAGAAACTCCCGATATAGCTCCACTGATCAATGGATAACGTCATGGATTATTGTCACAACTTAGTTTCGTCGTCCATCCAATCCAGGTCTATTCTAACATGTATTATATATAAAATAATGGCTTCACTTAGTCATATGCAACATATATCACAATCATTTGTGTCAAAACTATCATGTTCCTAATTATAATTATCATTTATATTTTTCTCGTATCAAGATTATTTCGTCATCTTCATTTAATGCGTGTTGTTTATCTTCACTTTCTATTTCCCGCTTGTGTTTTTTCTTTGAAAAACACTAAAATTACCGTTTTAGTGGTTGCTTATTTCTCGTAGTTTGTAGTCGTCAAATCTACCAGTAGTTTTGAGTAGTATGCATTGCATCCTTTACTAAATCCTCTGATGTAAGTCAGCTGTGTTGAAACCGCTGTTCTGTACTTTGTTGACTTTTATCTTAAAACATCCTTCAACTTATTTTTTTAAAATGAACTTCGAATATTGACAAACGTCTGCGCTCTCACGGAATTGGATGCTTTTTTGTGGTAGATATACGTTTGACTCAAAAATCTCTCCCAAATGGCTCTCTTCTTTTTGTTCACTGATAAAGTGTAACTTGTTTATAATTTATAGCATATGACTATACAAATTGTATTAATGTTTATTCTAGCCTCGTCTCTTTCTCTGTTTGAAATTCAAATTCCATACTCTGTTCAATAAACTTCAAGATTTTCTATGGATTGATAATCATTTAGGCAACTAGTTCTTTCACAGTTTTGCATGTATCATCGATGTACTTTGTTGATGATAGAACTGATCAGTTCACCCATCTGTTATTTCCATACACCGTTTTTTTCTATGGTTATCTATAGATTCATCTCATTCCGACATCTCACACTCATCCCAATCAGACGATAGTGATGACGATGACGAAGAAGAGGAAGATTCTCGACCACGTTACAAAGGTCCTGAGCCACCTCCAAATCGTTATAATATATGGCCTGGTTTCCGTTGGGATGGCGTGGATCGTAGTAATGGCTTTGAAAAAAAAATAGTTGAAGATCAAACTCGCCGACGAGTTGAACGTGAAATAGCTCAACGCTGGGCAGTGGAAGATATGTAAAATAATAACTTACATTATTATTATTGTTTGTAAAGTTTCTATCCATTCCACAATGTACAGATGTATTATGATATTATATATTTTTATATTAGAGACTTTTAGTCCAGTCTTCTATGTAATGTCAACTTGAGGCGTTGTTTGGTGTACCGCACACAGCCGTTTTGTGAAATCATGGACTTATGATTGTTCACTTTAAATAACATATTTTCTTATTAATCCTAGAAATATAATGAAATTCGTCACCTAGTGAGCTTTAAATGGTTATTACCTATCAGTCTGGTCTATTGTCTGAACTCTTATTGCTCATCGTTATGTAGTGACTTGGTTACGCTATCCATAAAAACAGATACAATATCACAAAGTAGGACATAGGTTAGTTCGTATTATAAATCCCTCCCAAATATTTAACTTATCTCTAACAACTGAGAGGACAAGAAAAATCGGCCTTTCTGCAACCCCATCTGAAGACGAAACGATGCAGAACGCATGTTTGTCAATAGAAGATTAATGGGTATTCTTGGGAATAAGACGCTAAGGATCTCGGTTTCGAAGCGTCACAATCAACTTCATGCCCATGTTTTAAAGAATCAAGAAAGAGATTTTTAAGGTCTTTCTTCTAAATAGTTCTGGTTGAACCTTTGGGATCTTTTGCATTCCTCAGCACCCGACCCGTTATTATTTTAATCACGTTAATTGGATCAAAGGTTACCGTCAAATTTTAGTTTGTCATACAATATGTCTCTAAATATTTTAGTGTTCTGTTATCCTACTCAATAAGTCAAAACAAACTCAGATGTAGTAAGCCGTCTGAGTTCGGTTCATAACCTGTCAACGCAATTATTTCTCTCTCAGTGATCCAGTGACATTGGTTAAAGCACTCGGTTTTCAGCCGGCCTCGTGTTATATATTTTTGGGGAGTCGGGAAATGTTTCATTACCCAGTGAAACTATAATTTATGGAGGACCTTTGAGAAACACTAAAGTGACCTTGAGAGTGTCCACCTAATAACTAGGACCATATGAGTGTGATAAACGAGTGTGAGGAATTAGCATTTTTTCGATATATATTTGATGGTTAAGGTTAGAAAGTATATTTATGGTTTTCGTCACGAAGTGACAGCAGCTATAAACCAAAAACTATTGAGCCAAATGGATGAGTGACTTTCGCGCCAAAATCCGAGACCTGTTACCTTGCACTTGATTGGTTCGTCCATAAATTACAGTCTCGCCCATCACTCACTTATAGATGCCGATCTAATTCTATTGTCCTGGTTGGCTAATCGTCTTTGGCGTTCCCTTTATTTATTTATTTATTTAAACACATAAATATTGGTACAAGGGGGCACCAAATATATATGCGCCGCACAAATCTGGTTTGATTTGTATGAGGGCTGTGATACTACCCAGGTGCCCAAACTGAAACAGATGGTCTGCTTAGGGGGCCACACCCGCAGCCTTTGACCTAAAGATCTGATCCACAAGGCAGTGGAGCACCGTAAGGAGATGCAGTTCCATGGTAGTCAGTGACCAACGATTGATTCACACGCCATTCGTTCCATCAGAATACTGGAGCCAGTCCATGTGCACCATTAGTTTGGAATCAGGGTTTTCCAACTCCCCTAGGTGGACTTTCCGTGTCCACCAACCCGGTTAAAGCGCCGGACATTCGCTTTTCGTCCTCTCAATTTCGTAAACAACACCCCCGTCACGAGAAGGCAGTGAGTAGAACTTCCCTGGTAGAGGCTATATATTCGCGTGGCGATGTGAGAGCATTTCGAGAGGGAGAGCGGACTCTCCCCACTCTCGGCCGTACCAAGTCATTTTGGGGGCCTTAATTTTATTTTAAAAAAAGCTTCCTAGCTTTTAACAAATTTATTTACTTGATGATTTTATAAAGTAAATCAACTAATCTGAAATATATCAGAAACGTTACAATGCTTCTTTTCATGAAAGCAATTCAATTATCAAAATTATTTAATACCATAGAAATGATTAGCTCCTCGTGATCTATTCCATGGATTTGTGTGTATTTTTTTACCATCTGGCCAAGTATATGTTTGTATATACTCTGATTGTTCGATTTTATTCAATTCATATTGTTTGATAGGACCATATCCTTCTAGTTTAATTTCTGAATGTGGATTAATTTGATAACCTGGTTTACATACACGTAGTTGACCATGATTTGTTAAAACTTCTGATACACAATGATTTGGTTTTGTATATGCTGAATGAGTTTCTGATTCACCAGGATACTTGATACATATTCCTGCTTGTTCCTGTGTGTTTTCGAAGGATGAAAGTAGGAGAGGATAATGAAAATAGTTCATTTCAATGTGACATTTTTTACTACTTAAATTGAAAAGTAAGTAGTCATATGAAAACTAAAACATTTGAATAAACTGTCGTTCGATCAATTTTACGCTTAATTTATAATGCAAAGTTAATTGTATGAAAACGTCATCCCACTAATCCACTGACTTGCTATCCCGACAACTTTTTAAAAAAAATTCTCCAATGATGAATAAATTATTAGCTGTGTTAGCAAAGATGGATAGTGACTAGCAGTAGAGTCCAGGACGCGCGTTTCGTCCTATTTGGAACTTATCAGCTGGATGTACCTGCATCTGAGAGTTGATGTTCACTCTGGGACTTGAGCCCAGTACCTTTCGCTTCAAACACCATCGCGTTATATACTCGGCCACTGAGTCCTGATAGCCACTTGTTTATGCAATGGGGTGAAGTTTAAATTCACTTAGTATTGTTTGCTTGAATCTTCCCATCGATGTGTTAGAGACTGATCAGTTGCAGTCCTAACACATCGATGGGAAGATTCAAAAAACAATACTGAGCGAATTGATTAGCTGTGTATTTTGTAGTGAATTTATCATTCCATCTGGATTTCGTTAACCAAACGTATATGAATCCTAGTTTTCGATGCTCTTACAGACGAAAGAATAATCTAAACACTGTCAACAAAAATAAGATTTAAAACTAGTTGTCATTCATGGGCTGACATCAGACAAAGGAACATTGAAAATTAAAGCTCATTTCACAACTTTTTCGCCTAAACTGTCTCATCCATAACCTGACAGTCAGTGGAAATAAGGACTTTCAGGGATAATTGTGTGGATGACTAAGTTCAGATGAAACGGTCCGCATTCTTAGCGCCATTCAATTACCAGTGAAACATTCGATTCGCCCACTTAATATGCTTACCTATATGCTGACCAGTGAAAAGACTGAGGAATGACTAGGAAGCTTTAGTCAACAAGTGTCTTAAATGTTTATACCTTTGTCCTGTCGATACTGTATAATGCTTTGTTGATGTAACCTAATTAAGGTTCACTCTATTATCCTAAACAGTGGTTGGAGAAGTTGGATGATATAGTTCGGAATCGGACATGATAGCACAGACGTACTCATTTTTTGTCTCCCCTTAGATCTTGAGTTTTAGAAATTATCGTATACTTTTCTATTTTATTGACTCATTCTTTCTCAAATCATATTATGTATGCGTAATCTTCTCCATTACCAATGAAATTGTTGGTACGTTTACTATTATAAACATTTGCTTTAATAATTTCACATCGTTGTATTGAAATGGTATGGCAGTTTGAACCAATGGGCATATATCCCAGATTCTATGTTGCTTATAACTGACTGACTATACAATAACAGCTAGGTTTATTCAGTATCATACTGTTTTTAAGAATTCGAAATTGAACAAACGTGGCATCAGTGCTTGAACACACTAACATCCAGTCTGAGCCATTTTGGCAGATGCAGACTACTTGGTTGGGGTCCGCGTGACTATCATAACCAATGGTTGGAGACTCTAGGTGACATGGCTCAGAATCTATTACAATGGCGTAGGTGTATGCACTCTTTATCTTTCCTTAAACCTTGAGATTAAAATTGCTTCATAACTTTCTTCGTTCCTATACTATATCCTTATTTACAACCTATAATTTATATACTACCACCACCACCACTAAATTACCTACTATGAATCCGGTGTTGATCTTGTTGTGCTAACGAGGTATGGCAACTTGGACTGATGCATAAATGTGCCTGGTCGTACGTTGTAGCTGACTGACTGAAATAAATACTCAGTATTTCTTCAACATTTTCTGAGTGGTTACCAGTTTGTGGTTGCTTACCGACCCAGGAAGTAATCAAGTTTACAGCATATTAGACATCTTTACAAAGTTTAATTAACGAACGTTGTAGATAACCGACTAAATTAACAAATGTTTAACGAATTACCTGAATTGTTGGTGGCCATTGAACTTCATTGTGCTTTGTTTCACAGCTTTTATTTAATTGATCTAAAGGATCACAAGTTATTTGATCATAATTAGGAATATTAAATCGTGGAGCAATACGAGGTCTTTTCTCTTGACTTAAATCAGGTTGATATACCTATAATTATCAGAAGGGGTTTTATGGAGATTTTAGTAATTTTATATATAGTTGAGATCATGAGTCAAAATTGAAGCTAGACCACCATGGAAAACCTGGAAGTACTGGATGGCCGTTCCGTCCTATTGTGGTACTCCTCAGCAATGTGCATCCACGATCCCACCTCGCGATATTCGAACCCAGGACCTACCAATCTCACGCCAGAGCACTTAACCGATAGACCACTGAGCCGGTCCAGTGCTTCCAGGTTTTCCATGGTGGTTTAGCTTCAATCGACTCATGATCTGAACTATAGCTATAATTATGCAAAGTTTAATGTTTTCAGATATATAAAATACAATTCACTTTATTGGAGAAAGGAAATAATAAATGACCAATTTCATTAGTTTGTGAACAATGAACTCTGGTTTCATCTATATGTTCAATAAATCAATGTATTATACCCCCATGTGGGTCTACAGCGAAATAAAAAGTGCCACTATTCATTAATGCAACACTTAAACAGTTATTGTATCGATGATAGATACTCGTTTAGAAATGACATTATCTGTTGTAACAGTATACATTACTTCACTTAGTATTGTTTGTTTGAATCTTCCCATTGATGTTTAGGACTGCAACTTGTCAGTCTCTTAATGTCATATGTGCATATTGTGTGTATTGCCTCGATATAGTCCTATTTCACAAGCATTGTAAGCAAAGATGGATAGTGGCTAATAGTGGAATACAGTTTGATGCGCGTTTCGTCCTATTTGGGACTCGTCAGCTGGATTTACCTGCATCTCAGAGTTGATGTTCACTCTGGGACTCAAACTCAGTCAGTCAGTCTTTTCTTTTATGACAACAAATGTATGATCTAAATACTTACTTACCTACGCCTGTTACTCTCAATGGAGTAAAGGCCGCCGACCAGCATTCTCTAACCCACTCTGTCCTGAGCCTCCTTTTCTAGTTCTATTCAGTTGTTGTTCATTCTTCTCATATCTATCTTCATTGCCCGGCATAATGTGTTCTTTGGCCATCAAGATTCCATATGAGGGCTTGTCTTGTGACGTAGTTGGGTGATTTCCTCAAAGTGTGCCCAATCCACTCCCAGCGCTTCTTCCTGATTTCCTCCTCCACTGGAATGTAGTTTGTTCGCTTCCATAGTAGGTTGTTGCTGATAGTGTCTGGTCAACGGATCCGAAGTATTTTTCGTAGACAACTGTTAATAAACAACAGTATCTTTCGCCTGCAGCTTCTCCAGGGGATACTGCCGGTCCCAAGCCCGGATAAAAGAGGACGATTGAGCATGAGATTTTATCAACCCCATCCGGTAGAAACCTAACTCTCTAACAAAACACACTAATCAAGAACGATAAGGATCTTATACATTTAATCAGACAAAACGCGCGTCCTGGATTCCACTGCTAGCCACTATCCATCTCTGCTTAGACAGAAGAGTAGTTCAAAATTTCGATCAACTAAATGAGTTCCAAATCATTTCAATAAAAAAAATATCACTTTCAATTTAGATTAAAACGATGAATGTTGTCAAACTATTTCATACTTACTTGGGTATATTTAGTAGATCCAATACAATTTAGATTATTTTTATAACCAATTAATTGATTGGTAACATTTAATTGATTATTTATCATTTCTATTTGTTGACAAGCGATTTCATAAAATGATTTTAAATGGTTTTCAAAATCAATAAATTTTTCATAAATTTTATAGATTTCTGATTGAATCTATAAAAAAAAGAAAAAAAAAATTTTTTTTACGTCTCCAGCGGGGGGGTGGTAATTCCAATAATTGTAGTTTACCAGACAAGACTGATTACTCTCTCTATCTCCTTCTCTTCTAATGGTTGATTAGATTATGAAGATCTTAACATCTAATAGGGAACATAGACTATAATGATCAGCTGAGAATGAATTAGAAGATTTAGACTTCGTAGATGGCCTAACACATGAACAAATGCAGATGAAGACAAAAGATAAATGCAAGATTATCAAATACAACATAGGGAACATCAACATAATCATACTTGATGGAAAAACTCCAGATGGTGTAGAAATATTCACGTACCTGGAAAGCATCATTAACGAACAAGAAAAATTCGATACAGACCTGAAAATGAGAATTGGCAAAGCAACCACAGTATTCCAACAATTGAAGAACATATGGAACCCAAAACAGTTGTCAACCATTATCAAAGTCACAATCTTCAATACGGGCGTCAAGACAGTCAGTTCCACTATACGGAGCTGAAACGTGAAGAACTAATACAACCATCATCAAAAGCGTATAAGTATTTATAAATAGTTGTCTACGCAAAATATCAGCAACAGCCTACTGTGGGAGCGAACAAACCTGCTTCCAGCTGAGTAGGAAATTAGTAAAAGACGTTGGAGGTAGATCTGACATACATTAAGCAAATCACCGAACTGTATCATGAGGAAAGCCCTAACTTGCAATCGTGAAAGGAAGCGGAAAAGAGGAAGGCCAAAGAACACATTACGCCGGGATATAAAAGCAGATATGAAAAGAATGAACAACAACTGGAAAGAACTTGAAAGGATTGCCCATGATAAGGTTGGATGGAGAATACTGATGTGCGGCCTATGCTCCTACAAGTGGGTTAACAGGCGTAAGTAAGTAACTGAGTTACAGTCATAATGGTTAAACGAGAAAATTTATTTCAATTTTCCCAACCCCATCATACCATACTATTTCATTTTAACATAGATTTTTGCAAATTCTTGCTGAAAAATTCAACAGATTACATGACAGAAGGGCTTTTGTAGAGCTAGAACACCATGGAAAACCTGGAAGCACTGGACAGCCGTTTCGTCCTATTATGGGAATCCTCAGCAGTGCACATCCACGATCCCGTCTCACGAGATTCTAACCCAGCATCTACCAGTTTGGTGGTTAAGCACTCGGGCGCGGGACTGGTAGGTTCTGGGTTTGGATCTTGCTAGGCGGGATCGTGGATGCGCACTGCCGCTGAGGAGTCCCACAATAGGACGAAACGACCGTCCAGTGCTTCCAGGTTTTCCATAGTGATCTAGCTTCAATTGACTCATGACTTCAACTGTGAAGATTACATGACAACTAGTTAATTTTCCAACTGACTTTCAATCACCATGAAATTTTTTATCAACATTAGAAATTTACTACCAAGTAAAGTACTTACTTAATTCTATTACAGTTAAATAAAGAATAATTAAGAAAATTCAAATGACTTATGTTTATAGGATAAAAAATAATTGACCAATGAATTGGTTATAAATCCATCTATTAATAAGATTATTGGCTTATAAAGTTTTAAGTTTATTCTCTAATCTAATCAATAGAACATTAAATCTTCCCATTGATATTTAGGACTGACTGCAATTGATCAATCGGTTATTGGCATATATGCATCCTATGTGAACTGTCTTGATATTGCCTGAAGCCGCGAGCTTTATAAGTGATAGATAATGGCTAGCAATGAAATCCAGGACGTGTGTTTCGTCTTGTTTGGGACTCGTCAGCTGGATGTACCTGACTCATCCTAGAGTTGATGTTCACTGCGGGACTCGAACCTAGTACCGTTCACCTGAAATGCCATCACATTATCCACCTAGCTATTGAGTCCTGATAACCACTTGCTTGTCCAATGAGATGAAATTGAAGTTCACTTGGTATTGTTTACTTGATTCTTCCCATTGATGTTTAGGACTCCCATTGATCAGTCCGTTATTGGCAATATGTACATTCTGTACGGGTTACCTCCATATTGCTTTAACTCACGAGCATTATCAGCAAAAAATGTATGGTTGTTAGCAGTGAAATTCAGGATGTGCTTTTCGTCCCATGTGTTACTCATCAGCTGGATGTACCTACCGCATCTCAGACTTAATGTTCACTCTGGGACTCGAACCCTATACCAATAATTAATTAATGATTTTAGACATATCTTTCAGTTCCCCCTGCTTAAACATGACCAAAATAAAATCTCTATACATTTGTAAATATATCAATAATATGATATGTAATCATATTATGTAACCTAGCAACAATGATGTAAATAAACTCCCGCCTATTGATTTTGTCTTTCTTTTTTTGATTGTACACTAGCAACAAGATTATGTAGATGTGTTGGTGGGGCCAACAATACTGAAGTTTAAAATGTTCAGACACACCAGCAAATAAACAGAAAGGTGATAATAAATGAATATAGAAGACAATGAAAATTCATTAACAAGGAAAATGGGATAGAATATTAATTACCCCCCCCCCTATTGATCTTAATAGTTAGGACACTCAGAGAAAATATTGTCGAACTGTTAATCATTCCAGTTTATTTCTCTATTCATGACTTAACTCTATCAATCAACTTGTAATGTGGTCTCTAGTGTGAGTTACTCAACATCTTAGACATTATCTTTTGATATCAGATTGTTGGAGATAGTTGGCAGGATACCTTAAATCGAAGTTTCATGATAGCTGGCACTTGTTAATAAATTCTATCAGAATTATTGAGAGTATTGATTCTTCCTGGAGAATTCCAACTTAAACCACCCAGCTTCACAGTCTGAGATGTTACCACTGAGCTGTTCTACTTCCAAATGACATACTGTAGGACTAAGATATTTACATCTTACTTTTCAGTGAATAGTTACCAATTACATTTGGTTTTAGTCTATTGATGTTGATCAAACTTTATTCATGAAGCTAAAATGTAGCCACTAGTCTCAATGAATCAATATTGTGTAGACTATGTCCTAATATTCTTTCTTTATGGTGTCGTTCGAGTCTGCTGTTCACTTTGCTTTCACTGAATACTTTTAAATTTATCTCTCTTTAATAAACCATACCTTCATAGTAATACTATATATATATATCATGGAGATGTCCGTTTATAGGCATGATTTGTTTGAGAAGGTTAGCAAATTCAAATGGAATGGGTGGAAATGTGATTTTAAATTGTTTGACATAATATAGTTCAAAGATTGTGAAAGTCGTACACTTTTTTTTACATGAATTACAGCATCTACAACATCATTCAGGAACCACTAATTCTTTGTAAGTAGATATCATATTGATAATATATACAGAATTTAAACTTTTATCTGCTTATAAATAAATTAATACATTTGTAGATATCATATAGTTGAGATCATGGGTCAATTGAAGCTAGACCATCATGGAGAATGTGATAGCACTGGATGTCCCACACTAGGACGTAACGGCCATCCAGTGCTTCCAGGTTATCTATGGTGGTCTAGCTTCAATTGACCCATGATCTCAACTATATAAAATTACTAAAATCTCCACAAAACCCCCTTCTGATATTTGTAGATATCCCGATGAGTAGTAAAAATTAGATTATCTGATATTTCGTAACTATGTGTAAGCCACTTCTTCAGAGAATAAATAACCAAATTAAAATTAATCCAAGTTTAAATAGTACAAAGAAACAATCCCAGAAAATTAGTTGCGATCAATCAAAAAACAGGTCTGAATTAATCTTTAGATGGCGTCGAGTCGCGATTAACTATGATAACCACTACAGTAAGATTACGCGCCTGCAAAATACTTGATTCCTTTGATAACTCGCAAGCCAGAAGGCTGTAACTGGTCCAGATAAAGTATATTTATTGGCGATCTCGTGATATCGAAGAAATACCGGGACGTGCCAAAGATTACAGGCAATAAGAGCAGAGAGTAATAAAATTCGAGCGAACAAGGAGGACGACCGAACGAAAAGTGATTATGATACAGCCTAACAACAACAAGTACAGTAAAACAATCACTGGTATAATTGGTTATAATAATAATTATTCTCATTATACCAATTGCGTTCTCGTCGAGAAAAGCAGGTCACTACAGGAGCCTCCCGCTAGAAAGGGTTTACACTTTCGACACGTAGCGGTTTCGTCCGTGCGACTGATCACGAAGCTTGCGATTATGGAATGAAGACGTTGGCAGAACAGGACAAATCAATATCATGTCATTTCGGTCAAGAGGATTCATAAGCGACATGTATGTAAGTTTGTATGTGTGTATGTGTGCACTGTAAATGATGATAAATGAGGTACCTTTATAGTGATAAATAATAGAGTTTAATTTGTAAGGTAATGATGTGAATTGTGAATATTACCAGACTAGTTGACTAGGATAGATAGATAGTTCAAGTCAGATGTATGGTATTGCCTTCTTTTCTATTGAAAGCAGTATGATTAAGCATTATATGGAATGCTTCAGCTACTATCCTTTCTTTATAATTGAAATAGCCTTTTTGTAATATTTTGATATTTTTGAAATCAATTTGATGATTGTTGAAAATGGTGTGAACTGCTATTGCAGATTTAATTTGAAGTCTATCCAGTTCTAAAGGATTATTAGGAGGTTTCATTGTGTATCCAATGAGTCCTTTGGTATGAGTGAAGATTTGGAGAAATGACTCTCCAATATAGAAGGTATCACAATCAACACAACCTAATTTGTGGAATCAGTTCTGTGTCGACATGAATGGGATTTTTTTCTTTTAATCGAACTAAGGTATTTCAAAGAGTGTTCGTTGTTTTGTAATATACTTTAATTCTGAATTGTTTTAAGAGTCTTTGAAGTTCTTCAGTTGTGCCATGACTGTATGGTAAAACTGCAGTACCGATTCATGGCATTTCATTCGAATTATTATTATTACGTACTGAACTGTCTTGCTTCGATATACTTCTAATAATCTTCATAGGAAAATTATTAAATTGTATGTTGGCGATTATATTCTTTTATTCTTTTTGTTTGTCGTCTTCTGAAGTGATGATCTTGTTGGCTATTCTCAAAAGATTTAAGGCTAGAGAGATCTTAGCACTGAAAGGATGTGCTGAATGGAAGTCAATATAACGATTAGAGTGTGTAGGCTTTCGATAGATGGATAGATTTAGAACTTCATTTACATTTCTCTTCACTAAGCAATCTAAAAATGGTAGTTCATCATGTTCATTTTCATCCTTATTCGTGAATTTGATGTGAGATGAAAGTGTATTTATCCGTTTTGAAAACGATCTTAGATGAGTCATTTTTCTTATGACAACAAATGTAACATCTACATACTTACTTATGCCTGTCACTCCCAATGGAGCATAGGCCTCTGACTAGCATTCTCCAACCCACTCTGTCGTGGGCCTACTTTTCTAGTTCTATCCAGTTGTTGTTCATTCTTCTCATATCTATCTCCATTTCTCTGCATAATGTGTTCTTTGGTCTTCCCCTTTGACCTTCAGGATTCCATGTTAGGGCATTTCCTGCAATGCAGTTGGGTACTTTCCTCAAAGTGTGTCCTATCCACTTCCAGCGCTTCTTCTTGATTTCTTACTCCGTTGAAATCAGGTTTGTTCTCTGTCATTGTAGGTTGTTGCTGATAATGTCTGGTCAACGGATCCGAAGTATTTTGCGTAGACAAATGTTAATAGTTGAGATCATGAGTTCAGAGCTTCCAGGTTTTCAATGATGATTTAACTTCAATTGATTCATGATTTCAACTATCAAAATAAGTTATCTTTCATAATGTCTTCATTTTAAAGTATACCATTTGTGAATATCCTTTAAATAAACAAAATACTGTTGAAATATTTTTATGTAAAAGAATATTTTTTGACTGAACTATTCGTTCTGCAATAACTTCATCATCAAACTCTACAGTTATAAGTCCATAATTGTGGTAATCTTTTACAAAGGTCAAAATGAGGCACGTAATAATGAATTTGGCAATGTTATATGGATATATGCACACGCGAGACTAATAGGTCCTGAGTTCAAATTTCGTGAGGTGGAATCGTGGATGCGCACTGTTCAGGAGTCCCACAATAGAACGAAACGACCACCTAGTGCTTCCAGGTTTTCTACAATAGTCTAGCTTCAAATGACTCATAGTTTCAACTATAAAAAAATGGTGAACATTTGCATCTGCTATTACGACATATATACTTCAAATTGTGTTATTTTTAAATTAGAAAGGACATTCAATAAGGGTCAGAAATGATTTGGAGTAAAGTATCCAGTCATATGCAGTAGAATAGAAATATAACAAAAATGAAAATTATTATCAGAAGGGGGTTTTGTGGAGATTTAATATTTTTCATTTGCTCACCAGTGACTGACTTCGATAGGTAAATTCTGGAGTTTTAGTGAAAAGCAGTGACCAATGGAGTTCAAACTAAATCTGTTGTGAGATAGAAACTGACTGATAACAACTGATAAAGGGTTGCTCAACTCACTGGTCTATCGATTACGTGCTCTGGCGCGAGACTGGTAGTTCCTGGGTTCGAATCTCGCGAGGCGAGGTCGTGGATGTGCACTGTTGAGGAGTCCCACAATAGGACGAAACGGCCGTCCAGTGCTTCCAGGTTTTCCCTAGTGGTCTAGCTTCAATTGGCTTACGCTTTCAACTATGAAAAAAATGAAAAAAATAGTGTGAATAAAGGGCATAGTAAGAGAATTTCATTTGTTAATTGAGATAATAATGATAAATAGTAATAGTAATAATAAGATTGCTGTGTGAATATAATACGTAATAAGAGGGTTGTTATCAAGGTAATTACGATAAACGAGTTATATAGTTAAAGTCATGAGTCCATTGTAGCTAATCACCATGGAAAACCTGGAATAACTGGGTGGCAGTTTCGTCCTTTTGTAGGACTCCTCAGTAGTGCGCATCCACGATTCCGCCTCACGAGATTCGTACCCAAGACCTATCCGTCTCACACACGAGCGCGAACATTAACATAACGGTAATCAAAATTTAATGAACTAAATTTATTCATCATAAAAAACAGAAAAATTTAACTTACATTATTCTTTTCTATCATTTTTGTTATATTCAATATTGAACATTGATCATGTAATTGTTTTAATAAGCAATGACCTTGAGACACCAAATTCGCGAAATTCAAATTTAATCGATCTTTTTTAAAAACATGATTATGATCAATAAAATAATTAGATGTTTTAATGATACCAAATTTATATGATAATCTTCTTAATGCTTCCATTAATTCAGGTGTTGTTATAATAATACTACTACTATTTGATTTATTATTTAGATTCATCTTATGTTTTAAATAATCCGTAATGGATAAACATTGTAAACTATTCAATTGATGATATAGATTATCCATGATATGAATAGATTAGTTAAGGAAATGATAGATAACTTGGTTTCTAAGATGATGTAATGGTGTTGTTCCTACCTTCCTTTCTTCCTCTCTTTCTTGCCTTCTTTCTTTTTTGTTTATTTATTTATATAAGGGGGACATGTTGTACTTTATTGTTTTGTCTCGAAAAGCTCTTTTTTTTCTGAATTTATGTTAAAAAGTACTTTATAAGTACATAGAGAATGATAGAAATCAGTTGATTATTGAGTTGGCAACTTAATATAGTAACTAAGGTATCTTAATTGATCTATTTATTGTCTTATGATACTTGTTATAACTTGTGACCGCCTGAATGCCTTGTTCATGTATAACATAGTAGTACCGTCAATTAAAAAGCAGTGATTTGTCGACGGGACCAATGACACACGAAACCTGTACGAGCAGTCTAGAGTACTTATCGGTCCTGCTATCTGTCTAGCCCAGCTGGAGAGACTATAATTTATGGATGACCTTTGAGTGAATCATAAGTGACCTTGAGAAATGTTAGCCAATCAGTTACCAGTAAGCATAGAGTAAAAAATATATTATACAAAACCAAATTATTAAAGTGGATACATCTCTTTTATATGGTTCAAAAACTTGTCAAGGTTAGAAAAAGATCCAATGGTTTTAAAATCATAATGCATAAGGTAGAGGAAACCATCTATATGCCTCCATAATAGTCGATCTCTGGAACCATGATAAAGTCACGAAAATCCTCTCAGCCTCAATCACATAGCTTCAATATTGTTCGTGTGTACTCCGGTTGTGTAAATTTATCATTTTTATTATGGATATGTCCCTATAACACCCATATCACTGAACGGCCGAAGCTTCAGTAGCATCTGCGATTATTGCAGCCAATGTTACTGGTGCTTTTATTATACAGTTCGTGGCAGTTATTATAATATGCCTTGTTCTCAATTTGGATCGAGCGATAAAAGTTCCTATTCTAGCAAAAGTCTTCCTTCAATATATATTACATCGAAGGACAACATCACGATAATCTGCACAACGTATACAAGTCATTTAATTACCACAGTCAAAAATAAAGGAACTTCTTAGTAGTCTCATTTGTTGTAGCCGCTTAATTGTCAAGTATTCTCTAAAATTCTCTGTAAACCGATCGTACATGAGCATCACGTACTGAAATTGGCGCCATGATCTTGAAATCCCTCAAATGATTCTAATTTGCTCGTCCATAAATTATAGTCACACCAATAACAGCCACTGCGGTATGAATCATTATTTTTCAAACATACTGGGTTTATATACCAATCAAACAGACCACATCGTACCATAAAATAGGAAAACATCATTTGTACAAGATTTAGCCAAATGTGGCTGTGAATGGGGGGAACAGTAACCAATAGACTGGGGATAACTAAGGAATGGTAAATCATACAATAATAGTTCATAAGTCAAAATAAAGCTTATAATAAGAAGGATACGAATATGAATAGTTTAGTTATTCATCAATTATACAATAGGAAATATACGTATCATATTTGTTCATAAATAGTCCTCAAAAATTACCCTTCAGAATTCTCTTCGGGATATAACAGAAGTATTCATAGTTTGTAAAATTATAATACAGTAGCTAGAAAGCTTTAACAAAATGGTAATACTAAAGTGAACAAGAACATAAGAGCGGGATAATCGAATGTATTTGAACACACAAAATCACAGAATCTCTTGGTGAAATCTGAGAATCATACAGTAAATACTGCATTTGTAAAATATCAGTCAAATCATCTCACACTTCATCATTCCTTTGTTTCCACATCAACCATTCTCGGCTCTCATTCTGTTTTCTTCGACTTTTTTTAACCTTCTGCTACTAGGTATTTCACTTTTGATTAATGATACACACTACTTATATCTATCAACATCAGTAGTACATACCATATTACATGTTAAATGATAATAACCAGAAAATACTGAATTTATATTTTAAGATGTAAATATACTACTGAGAAGTGACATCGAAAATACAAAAAAAATTGATTTAATTGGTGATTAAGGTGTCTTTTCTTTTAGAATATGAACTTCAACAAACCAATTCAAGATGTTTCTATCCTTTATCTTTAATCACACGAGATCGAATGGGCTATTCTATTCAGTACAATTAAACATGAAGTTGCTTTTTTAAATAGTTAATTCCTTTGGGTACCAAAAGGTTTTGTTTGTCTTGGTTCATTTGCAAAGTTAGTCTTCTAATATGGAACTTACCCAACAGTGCACAACCATTACCTCACACAAAGGATATAAACCAATACCTTCCAGTTTCACCAAAAACACTCAACCTATAAACCATTAAGATAGCATCCAATGGTTTCTATTTCTAACATGAATCAACGAGCGATATTAGACGATTGTCTTTTATTGGTCATATATCTGACTCCATTTACATCGGACGATCGATCGCTACTGAAATATACATGTCTATGTCACTGTTGTGCTGGCTTCGATGATTGAGTAGTTCGAGTTTGCTCACTCGCCTTCTCCGTGGAGCGTCATTTCGTTGTACTTCACTTTCTGGTCGATGATTAAAAGAAATATACGCATCCGAAATTCATTCACGTATTTGACTTATTTAAGCCCCGCATTCACCAACGTGATTTAGGTCGACTATTGTATACGAGGATTGGCGGAGTGTATATTTCATTAACAAACAGCAAACAATCTACCTGGAGTTAGATTATGAGCCACTAAGGTCTCAATGATATTGGCAGGTAACTGACAAAAATGAATTCCATTGGTCAATTCACCTATTCATCATGAGTCATGTTTTGAACTTGTTTATTATTCACTCATTAACCCTGGCTATTTTTATAGGAGCGTTTGTGTGTATACACTTCTTATCCTATTTATCAAATGTTTGTCATTTATCTGACTATAAATATTGATTAACGCTTGATGAAAGTGAATTGGCTTACATGCCATCTCAAACGCATGTCATTTTTGCTTCACTCGCTGATTTTCGCTAATGTGCTTAAAGATTTCTTACCAGCGATATTTGACAATAAAGTGTAGTTGCCGCTTCTATTTGCCTTTTGATTTTATGAACCGTTACGATTTGTGTTCTAACGGTTATCGAGATGAACGATTAACGAAGCACGGCACTACAAATATTCCCTGTGAAATAGTTCTGAAAATTTAAACGTTCACTAATTATACACCTATAATTTACAATCTAATAATATCAAAATCAATCAAAGTCCCAGTCCATAGACTACATTGGTTGAATATAAGTCACATCTTGTAGGTTAGTTACTACTCCTCAATAGTAGTTGCAATTCTATGACCATAAGAACACTACACTTTATTATAAAAATGGAGTAATTACTAACATGGACATTTCCACTTGAAATAAAACTCTTTGTTAAAGAAAAAAAGCAAAAGTAAATCAACTTTGTACTTACTTGTGCAATACATGACATGATACCAACAACAGCAATGAAAAGTGCCACATTCTCTTCAGTGAATCCCATAACCTATTGGATAGTTTATTTATTGGAAAAATAAATTGAAACAAAACAGCATGATTAATTCGAAATATATAAAATATAACACTAATGACCGTTTTCTCGGTATCCCTGATGTGGATGCAATGTAAAATTTCCTGAATAGAGTTGTATACCTACTACCAGTTATTGGAGCATTTCAAATTAATATCAACTGGTTGTTTGTTAGGACTTGCATAGTTCAGTCGATAACATGTTAGATTTTTCAAGTGATAGTGAATTTGAAACCCAATGTTAACATCAACGATAGGATGTACGCATATTCAACCGACCAGTCTTGGATTCTACAGATAATCAGAATGGAAATCTACTAAGAAATTGAGACTAAATGGAAATATCAAGGCTATCAACTTATGATCCATGAATGCCAATGCGTAATGATTAGTAGCCGCTCTTACTATCAATTAGGAGGAAATACAGACTCTTATAAATACAACTACTACTAACTGCACAAAATATTGGCTATCTGGATCAAGCACTTCCATGAACAACGGGCTGTCATTTACAGTGAATGATACTGGGTTCGAATTATGGTATAAGCAGACACATTGAGATACAGAGGTATCTTGGTTTTCTCTGGTTTTGTTTAACTGTTGTTAATTGCTGTCTTCTCCTTCTTCCTTTCTTGAATCCTGTTCAGGACTTCAATAGAAATTCATCCTATGTGATGATGTGTTTTATGGACAATCATCTCCCAGAATGCAGAAGTTAATGCTTCTTTAATCCCTTTCCAGTTGTCCTCTATTGTAGTTTCTTGTCCCAGTAGATCTTCTAAGCCTTCGAAGCTTTTACCAGAAGCTATCTTGAATTCGTTGAGTTTTTCAGTATCTCGAAGTAATGCTGTATTTCCAGCGCTTCTTTAGCATTAGTTTCATCTTGACAACCACCAGGTGATGATCTGAAGCTATGTCAGCTCCTCTCCTGGTTCTTACATCTTCCATTATCCTTCGGAATCTTTCAGTGATGTAAATATGATCGGTCTGATTCTCTCTAGTTTGGTCCAGTGACACCCATGTAGCTTTGTGTGTGCGTTTGTGGGGGAATATTGTGCCATCTATAACCACTTCGTTGCATGCGCATAAATTCGTAAATCTCTCACCATTCTCGTTTCTTTTTCCTAGTCCATATCGTCATATAATATCTTCATACCCGATGTTGTCCGTCCCGACTTTAGCGTTTATGTCTCCCATCAGGATGATGAGGTCCTTTCCTGAGTACTTTGCTATGGTCGGTTACAGCCTACCATAGAACTGATTTTTTATAGTCACTGTTGTTATCATTGGTAGATGCATAACATTGGATAATATTCATTGTGATCCCCTTCTTCTTTGTTTTGAAAGATGCTTGGATGATTCTGGATTCATGAAATTCTCACTCAATAAGCGCTTTTACGTGCTTCTTTGGACAGCATAAGGGCAACTTCCTGAGTGTGTGAAGCGTTTTCCTCTTCATTACCAGAGTACAGCATCATCTCTCCCGTACCTAGCCTTTGTTGTCCAGCTTGGGTCTAATGAGTTTCGCTGGTTCCAAGTACTGCTAATTTGTATCTCCTCATTTCCATTACTATTTGACTGGTCTTCCCAGTCTCCCACATTGTCCGGATTTCATATACCCAGAAAAATTGTTGTTATGGTTGTAAGAAGGGGCCATCGGCTTCGTGACTTCCGAAAAATTTCGGCTTTTATCATGATGAATCATATTTCTTCCCCCAACTCGGATGGTAGAGTTCAAATGGTATGAATTATTTTTCTGATTGGCGTTTTTTTTAAGCAAGACTTTTTCTACGGGGTTGGGTTACCGACCACATTCCCAACCGTACTCCTTTGTGTGAGCTTGGGACCGGCACTCACTCTCGAAGGGCTACAGGCGGAGTTAAGACAGAGGACTGAGATTAAAAGAAATATTCCGGCGCCATAGTGAAACAGTAATGCTCCATCCTTAGTGGATGACAACTGGGGTTAAGCTCAAGTATTATCAAACTACTTTAGCAATGCATATACTGTAGAAACACCCTTCTCGCAAGTCCATGCGAATCCCCACGCACAAAATGGACAGTTCAACCGTTCAAGAACTCGATGTCTTTGGTCTGCTAAATATGCTTGATTTAGGCAGATCCAGGGGACTCGGTGAAATGCATCCCAGATTACTACAGGAATTGGGAAATTTTGTCCCGGATTCCTTAAGCATATGTATTAATCTATCCGTAATTCAGGTTCGTCTACCAACAGACTGGAATAATACTATAATGAATCCTATAAGCGAAACCAGAGAAGTACCGACCTGTTAGTTCAACTAGTGTGGTTTTTAAAATTTTAGAAAAGATTATTCAGAAGTTGCTTAAGTATGTCGACGAAAACCGGATCCTTTCGTAAAAACAACACGGTTATAGAATAAGTTATTTCTGTCACACCAACTTATTGGTGACTTGTAAAAGCTGGTGCGCTCTTAAAGACCAAAAGTTACCTATAGCATCAGCCTATATATACTTCAGCAAAGATTTTAACAAGGTTCCTCACAACCGGCTGTTATATTAGCTAAGAAATGCCGGGATTGGAAGCAATCTTTTGATTTGGATAAAAGACTTCCAGGTTGGGCGCCAACAAAAAGTACGGGTGAACTGTTTAGCTAAAAAACTGCGCTTAGCGGATTACAGTTTTGGGGCCATATATGTATATGGGGCTATATATGTAAATGACCTTCCTCGTCTCCTGTCATCATTTGAAGGTTATCGTTAGCCAATACTTAACAACTGCTGCACACCGCCGTGCATTAGGCTTTAACCACACAATCCTCAAATAGGCACACGGAATCCTGTACTTTTCCTAACACTGTCTTAGACCTACATGCTCATATATTTCGTAGCCTACGGCGCTTTTGCACTATACTCCTCAAAAAGTTTGTAAATCTCGTAGAGTATGTACAAACCTGTCCAGTAAAGTTGACATTATAAATACCGTACAAACCTTATGGAGACCGTTTTCACCAATCGATATGATACTCGCTATCTAACAGGACATTACAAGACGACCTGATAGTGATGTTTGTTAGACTGATGTCCAATTTGGTATTAGGTGAATTTATTTTTGCTGCTAGAATAATAGGCCTAATCCAAAAATCACAGAGTCCCTATGACATAACTACCTAATCTATAATATCTAGCATAGAAGTTACTTCATTTTCTATACAGCCACCAGTGTGAAGTTTAGCACCGCTGAAGGACATATATGGCCTGGGGACAAAATAATATATATTTAATATGGAAAGGAAGAAGCAAATTGCAGCTACCATACCTGTATGGCCAAGCCATGATATAACAAATAAATTTTCCCGTGTTCAATAATTCTCCGTCGTAAATGCTGAGTGTAAATCTTATCAGTTATCGTGCGTTCGGCTTCAAGGATCGTATGACTAAGAACCAAAAATACTACACTACTCTCTCTCCACTGACTTAAGTCTTAACCACCCTTATTTACTTGTTATTCTTACACATTTGTTTATTTCTACCGAGTCAATTTGTTTACTTTTTCTGACCACGGTCTCGTCGTTTCTCTTCTTCTAATTCCTTCCAAGTAACCTCGTAACCGGTAGTGGGATAGCTCCTTCATTAGCGCTCGAATCCGCTATGATTAGTGCCATGAGTGCCCGGAATACTCACAGCTGACAACATTAAAGACCCCTAGCGGTACACTAACATCAAGGAGTGAGAACAAAGAAATTAGTTGGTTTGCATTAACTTTTAGGAGAGATATTGAATACTGGATATTGTACAGGTGTTTTCGGCATGCGCCAAGACCAAATGAGACGTTGACGTTATTTTTTAATTATGATGATTATACTGTAAAACATGGTTAGTAGGAGGCGTCTAACTGTATCTGGCGATCACAAGCCCGAAGTAAGATATGCTGACTTTCAATCAACTTCTCAGGAACAGTCATGTTGGTCCAAACCCACTGTTTATCATGCTGCCATCGTGATATTTCTAGAGTTTTTTGCCTTCGGATTGTTAACTACCCCAATGATCTCGGTATAGTCCCGTTATGTTACTATTTATACGTTGCAGGTTTTAGATGAGACATTTCCCAAGTATACGTTTCTAATGAATGGCATCATACATGGAGTAAAGGGAATTTTATCCTTCCTTAGCGCACCATTTCTAGGTGCTCTGTCAGATATGTTTGGAAGAAAACCTTTCCTACTTCTAACAGTAACCTTCACTTGTTCTCCAATACCACTGATGAAGATCAGTCACTGGTGGTATTTTACAATGATCAGTATATCGGGTATTTTTGCAGTGACATTTTCATTTGCTTTGGCATATGTCGCTGATATCACATCAGAAGAAGATCGAAGCTGGGGATATGGACTAGTAAGTTCAGATATACACATATGAATGGCAAATTTTCCACCCCGAAATTAACTGTTCAACTAGTAGGTTTTTTGTTCCTGCACAAATACCACATCAATGTTAAGATCTTAAGTCTGTAAAACTGTTCGTTTTTTGTCGAAACAGGTAATGGACCAAAAGCTTCGATAGTCAGTTGTTGTATTTTGAATGAGTTTTTTGGTGCCTGACATTTCTGCCTTGTCATTTTGGTTTGTGTAGTTTGAACTGTTTGTCATCGATCAGTAGGGTTATTTGACATGTTTGATTCTAGTCTCAATTACCCAACTGAAATATTGATCAATATAACACGAAAGACAGATTTCACAGCCTAAAAGTTGTTCATGCTCTTATAACTGATTGCTTAAAGTATAACCTTCCAATGTACTACCTTAGTACGTTTATTGTTAGTAACTGGTTTATACAGTAACCAGTAATGACAATACACTCTTCGAATAACTTACTGTAGTCTATAGTGAATTATTTAGTGTACTAGCTTACTGTTTAAACCCATCTTTGCTACTGACGTTTCGGTTTATAGTAGTGTCAATGTCTGCTATTACTGTGCCAACTATGCGGAAAGAATAAAGCCTATCAGCCCTCTATTTGCTTATCTTTTATGTGGCACTGGTTCTGTTTGCAGCCTCACTATTTGTTTCATGTAACTGATCATTCTAATTTAGACATATTATTCTTATTATTACTATTATTACTATCTGTATTTGACATCAACACAATGAGACGGGCGTTAATCAATAACCGATTTTCAGTATTACATGGCTCAGAATCGATCACAATGGCGTAGGTGTATACACTCTTTATCTTCCCTTAAACCTTGATATTAAAATTGCTTCATGTCTGTCTTTCTTCCTGTACTATATCCTTATGTGCAACCTATCTTTTATATATTACCACCATTAAATTAACTACTATGAATCCGGTGTTCGTCTTGTTGTGCTAACGAGGTATGGCAACTTGAACCGATGCATAAATGTGCCTGGTCCTACGTTGTAGCTGACTGACTGAGTATTGCAGGATGTTGTCCAAATGCTTTAATAAAACCAAGAGTTCAATCCATCTTTTTGAACGTCTTCACATTGTCCATTCAAAACCTTTCCGAAAGAATTCCTATTTACCCCCTTAATGTCACGAGATAAAGGGGGATATTATGTATAAATTGAGTTATTAGATTCAGACTTTACTTTGGATGTTTGACAAATCGTAATTCAAAACGAGTCAGACAGTCACAACGTAAAACTTCATACGTACCTACATCAGTTCGAGTTGCCATACCACGTCAACACAGAGATGCAGTTGTCGATTCAAATTTCATGGTGGTAGAAATAATAAGAGTATACGCAGCAATCCGAAATATTAGGGTTTGAAGATGTTATTGAAGGAGTACAATCCAGTGAAATAAATTCGGAAAGAGAAAAAAGATAGAGATATGAAGAATTCAGAAGATTAGAATTTGGGAGAATACAAAGAGTGGACGCACCTTCGCCACTGCAAACAATTTTGAGCCATGCAATTCAAGGTCTCTAACCATCTGTTGTTATTATCTCGCGGATCCCAACCAGGTAGTCTACACCTACCAACATGACTCAGTCCACTCATGAAGTTTCACTACTTCATTAACCGATTCTCCATCCTTACCTAGTACCCGTTTCCTAACAACTGCATTACTTGCTCGGTGGTCTCAGGACGTACAAGCAGTGCTTCGAAGACACCTATGATCGAACACTAGTAGCCTACGAATGCCATCTACTCTTATCGGCCATGTTTCACTGCCACAAAGTTGGACGGAACGAACTGCTGCCCAGTAAACCCGTCCTTCTGTTGCTAGACGAATATTTCGCCTACGCCATAAATGATGCAAGTTGGTGAAAGCTAAACGAGCCTTCTGTATCCGTGCTGAGATTTCTTCACACACCAGACCACAAGGGCTGATGAAAATCCCAAGATAGGTGGAGCGGTCAACACGCTCAACTACTTCACTCCCTATCATTAGTTCACGTGTCGATGCAACCCAATCCTGAGGTAACATTTTGCACTTCGAGGGGGAGAATCGCATCCCGAACATGCCTGCATTGTTGCTTATAGTGGTCAGAAGAATCATCAATGCACTCAACTGTTATCCTCATTGTGAAACTAAGCTCTAAAAAGTCACTAATGAAGCAGCTTTTCGGATTTAAACGTGAAGAAACCTATTCCAAGCATTCTAGCGTTGTTACTCTGGGGATTGCAAAATCAACGTTTTTCTCCTCTCCAAATCGGACACTGTGATTCCCATCCATTCTTCAAGTCAATAAGTAAGTCTCATATTATGTGATCGACTTCCGAAAATCTAGGTGAAGTATCATTACTAAAAGTATATCAATAACAAAAGTAGCCAACCCCGAGGAGCATTATTCTAATCCAGCTGATAGTTGACCATAAGCTATGACTCGACCATTAGTATTCAAGTGAAGATTTCCGTGTCAGTGTATCCACCTTTGTGCTCGCGTTTTAAAACCCGCTAACGGGTGTGGATTCGGTTGACACATTCTTGACCAGTTCTAAAACCCTCATGGTTCTCTTATGCTTATTGTTCTGGAGCTCTCTTTAAGAGTCAAACAACTATAGGAGCTAATATTTTAAAAACTATGTTGGTGAGATCTGTTCCACTAAGGCTTTCCTTAAAGGATTTCTGTTATTTCTTGTAAACTAGGACAATAGGCGATTCCAGCAGCCAAATAAGATTTTATCCAGCGCTTTAACTCCAATTAGTACGCCAATGATTATTTTAGTGATAGTCCCGGAGTACCGTTCTTAAGGACTTCTGGGATCTACTGGTCAATTTCGGCTGGCCATACTCGCTTAAAAGTCTAGTGACTTATGTCGATCCACCATTTCGGCTGTTGGAAATTACTGAGTAACTAAAACATACCTTAAAACCAGTTGAAATATCCCTCAGTTTTTTTTAAACATATAGTCTTAATCAGTCTGTGAAATCACTGACTGTCGGTAAGTACAAATGTCCTACTTTCAGTATACGATAGAATTTTCATCTGTGATTGAAGATTCTGGATGTTTTAAATTGGTTGTAATGGTGCAGTTACATCAATGCTTTATCTTTCAAAAATAAGTTATAATATCATTCCATATATCACTCCTTTTTTATTTTTTTCGTCTCTGTAGAACGGTATATTTAAAATATTTTTGAATATCTTTCTTATTATTATCTTTTGTGCTTTGCTTATCTCCTTTTTATATTGATGTGAAATATGGGAATTTTCACTCATATTTTTGTTGTTTTCTTAATAATTCAAGTGAATTTCATGCTCATTCATTTCTAACTAGTTGTTTAGTATTGCGTTTTTAATTCTTTTATAATAGACCAGTTCTATAGTCCATAGTTTATGACTCATTATTTATTTAAGAACATAAATATTGGCACATGAAAGCACCAAATATATATGTACCATACTTCTTTATTCCATTTGTGTGAGGTTTGGGTTACTGCTTGGGTGCCCAAACTGAAACGGGTAGTTTTTTTAGAGGACACACACCTCGAGCCCTTGACCTACAGGTCTAATCTACAAAAAAGTGGAGCAACGTTAGGTGATGCAAATCCATGGTAGCCGTTCACGAACAATAGGTTCATACGCTATTTGTTCATTCAGAATCCCAAAGCCCATGTACACCATTGATTTGGAATCACTGTGAAAAGGTGGTGAGTAGGAGTTTATTTATTTATTTATTTATTTAAACACATATATATTGGTACAAAAGGGCACCAGGTACATATGCGCCACACAAAATAATGAAAGTAGGTAGATAAAGGATGAAAAGATAAGGCGGGCTGAAATGTACAACCAGAAGATTCTTTCAGTTAGGAAAGTTAGAACCATTCTTTATGTAGAAAGTAAAAGAAGGTTGCAGCAGGATCGCCACTGGCTTCTATTCTGAGCCATATCCGATAACGTCTCTAGCCACTGTGTTGCACTATCTCTCGGACCCCAACCAGGGAGTCGTGAAGGACCAACGGAAGCTAGCCCTTTGCAGCTCTCTTTCATGCCACGACACCATGTCATACACTGACCTCCTCTCCGCTTTCTCCAACCAGTCCCAGGGTCGGCAAATAATGCACGACGCGGAAGTCTCTGGGACGACATTCGTAAAACATGTCCGAGCCACCGAAGTCGGTGTTTCAAGATGGTGACACCAATTGAATTATCGTCTCTGTGCCCGAACACACGATGCCGAACCTCTGCATTACTAACATGGTGTTGCCACTGGATGTCAGCAATCCTTCGGAGACAACGATGATCGAACACAGAGAGACGTCTAACATCCTCAACTCGAAGAGGCCAGGTTTCACAAGCATAGAGCAAAACTGCTCTCACCGACGCGTTGTAGATCCGACCTTTTACAGCCAGACTAACATCACGAAGGCGCCAAAGATGGCCCAGATTGGCATAAGCCGCTCTGGCTTTCATTAAACGTGCATCAATCTCATCACTCACGCCACCACCAGCACTTATATAGCTACCTAGATACACCAACTTCTCAACTACTTCGATCTCCTCACCATCCAGGGTGAGTACAGGATGAGAATCCTGCCAGTCTTGTAGAAGTACTTTGCACTTGGAGGGTGCAAAGCACATGCCGTACCTGCGGACACTGATTGCCAACTGATTAAGTGCTGATTGCATGCCTTGGGCATTATCGCACAGTAAGACAATATCATCCGCATACTCGAGGTCGAGAAGTCGTTCTCCAGGCAACATATCCACACCGCCATTACTTACATCCATCAGAGCTGTTTCTAGGATGTCGTCGATGGCAAAGTTGAAGAGGAATGGGGAGATCGGGCAACCCTGCCTAACCCCACTGCTCGAATGGAACAAGGGAGAAAGGTGGTTGTATGCCCTCACTCTGCCTGAGGTGTTCGTATACAGGGCTTTTAAGATGTTAATGAACTTCTCAGGCACACCCTTCTTCAATAGACAATCCCAGAGAACAGTCCTGTCCAACGAATCGAAGGCCGCCCTGATATCAAGAAACACTACGATTGTTGGCCTGCGATAAGTATGACGGTGTTCTAACATTTGGCGGAGGGTGAAGATGTGATCAATGCATCCTCGACCAGAACGAAAACCAGCCTGCTCCTCGCGAGTCAATCGTTCTCGGGTTTTAAACAACCTACGAAGAATGATAGAAGCCAATAGTTTGGACGCGATCGAAAGTAGACTTATCCCCCGATAGTTGCTACAGGAACAACGTGAACCCTTTTTAAAGATAGGGACGACTATTGACTCATTCCAAAATGTTGGAACACTTTCTTGCTCCCAAACCTTTCCAAACAACGCAGTCAGTTCCTTAGCCAGAAAGTCACCACCATCTTTAAAAAGAGCCGGAGGTAAGTCATCTGGGCCAGGTGATTTATAACGTTTCAAGAGTTGGAGTTCCTTGCGGACTTCCGCCTCGTTTGGTGGATCAGTCGTCACCGGCCATGGGGAGCAGGACAAGCTGGTTGATGTTGCCGGAGCAGCAGGCCAGTTGAACTGCCCTTCGAAAAATTCCGCCCATCGTCCAAGACGTCGACAGATGTTAGTGATTGGCATCCCGTCATCCTCGTAGATTGTTTCACTCACACCAGACTTCTTGCTGCCAGTGGCTCGGATGAGTTGGAAGAGCTTCCGGCAGTTACCAGATGCAGCTGCTGCTTCCATCTCATTAGCACGCTCCGACCACCAGGCTTCCCGGTCCTTACACAAGCTTTGCCCGATTTCATTACGTAACAGCCTTCGTTTGTGGTCAAACTCACGGTCACCCGGAGTAGACCGACGGGCTTCCATCAGTTGTAAGGAGCCAGAAGAAACCCAGTGCTTGTAAGCGGGACGTTTCGCGAAGCCGCAAGCGGCTTTACTCGCCATTTTCATGGCGTCATGAAGATGCAACCAATGCTTACCTATACTTTTCGGTGGGGTGGTAGCTAGCCTAGAGGCTAGCTCAGCTCGATACTTACTTGCAACAGAAGTTGCAGCCAGTTTACTAATATCAATCCGTTGGTGGTGGTCAATCCTTCGGCCACTGAAAAGTAAGGTGAGATTGGCGCAGACCAGGGCATGATCAGACTCCAGATAGGTACTCCAAAAGGAGCGGCAGTCTTGTACACAACCACGCCAGCGGTAGCTGATCGCGATGTGATCAATCTGAGTCCAGGCTTGGGATGCAGAGGGAGGACGCCAGGTGGCACACCGGCGATGACTGTGCCGGAAGTTAGTGCTGGCCAGAAACAGGTTGTGGTCTGTGCACAGTTGCAGCAAACGGTCCCCGTTATCTGTCCTGCGACCAACAAGTCCCCATCGGCCACCTAGACGACTCTCTTCTGTGCCTAGACGCCCGACCTGTGCATTCAAGTCTCCGGCTAGTACTACAATATCTGTCGAACGCGCTTTCTGGAGAAGAACTGTTAACTGATGGTAAAACTCATCCTTGATTGCATCCGGGCTGCAATCTGTCGGGGCATAGGCGGAGATGACGAAAAGACACCGTTTCTCACGCCGATTTCTTCTCACTTTGATGGAACTTTCTAATCTAACAGCACATAACCGACTGTTAATGGGGATCCAATCGATTAGTGCTGCCTCAGCTCTAGCGCTTAGTGCGACACCAACGCCAGCAAGACCAGACGAAGATGCCACAGGGTCCCCGGATAAGCGCACGTGGAACAAGCTTTTCGAGGCGACAGATGGAGAGCGGATTTGTAGTACTTCACTAGAGTCTTGAATACGGGTCTCGGATAGACAACAAACGTCAACATTAAGACCTTCCAAAGACATAGCCAGCCCTATCTGTTGTCTGATCTGCATTAGTGTGCGAACGTTGAAGGAAGCCAGCTTGAACGGCGTACGTGGTTTCAGAAAGACTGCCTCAGTATTCATAATCGGTGGAAGCATTCACTTTCAACCAGACAGTGACTGGAGATCGTTTAGATAGGACAGATTTTCCACCAAGAGCGAGCTGCTGCATAAGTTGAAGAGTAAGGTTACACAAATTGGGGATAAAAGGGGGTGAATTAGCGATATGGTAAGTAATAATAATAATAATAATAATAATAATAATAAAAATAATAATAATAATAATAAAGGTAATAATAATAATAATGTTAATTGTTTTGCTTTTAGTATGACCAGGGATATCGTCAATAAAGTTCATAATTTCATTCATTTGTTTGTGTGTGGGCTGTGATACTGCCCGGGTGCCCAAACCGAAGCAGGTGGTTTTCTTAGGGGACCACACCCCGAGCCTTTGACCTAAAGGTCTGATCCACAAGGCAGTGGAGCATCGTGAGGAGATGCAGTCCCATGGTTGCCGTTGACCAACAGCAGGTTCTTCCGCCATTCGTTCCATCAGGATACTGGAGCCCATGTGCACCATTGGTTTGGAATCAGGGTTTTCCAACTCCCCTAGGTGGACCCTCCGTGTCCACCAATCCGGTTATAGCGCCGAACATTCGCTTTTCGTCCTCTCACTTTCGTAAACAACACCCCCGCCACGAGAAGGCAGTGAGTAGGACTTCCCTGGCAGAGGCTATATATTCGCTGGCCATGTGAGAGCATTTCGAGAGAGAGAGAGTAGACTCTCCCCACTCTCGGCCGTACCAGGGCATTTGGGTGAGTAGGAGTTCCCGAATAGCAGCCGTATGCTCATCATCATGTGAGAGCATTTCGAGAGAGAGAGAGAGAGCTGACCCCCAAATGCCCTGGTACGGCCGAGAGTGGGTAGTGTCCGCTCTCCCCCTCGAAACGCTCTCATATGGCCACGCGAATATATAGCCTCTACCAGGGAAGTCCTACTGATCGTCTTCTCGTGGCATTACTGTTGTTTACGAAATTGAGAGGACGAAAAGCGAACGTCCGGCGCTTTAACCGGGTTGGTGGACACGGAGAGTTCACCTAGGGGAGTTGGAAAACCCTGATTCCAAACCAATGATGCACATGGTCTCCAGTATCCTGAGTGAACAAATGGCATATGAACCAATCGTCGGTCACCGGCTATCATGGGACTGCATCTCCTTAAGATGCTTCAGTGCCTTGTGGACTAGACGTTCAGGTCAAAGGCTCGGAATGTGGTCCCCTAACAAAACCACCTGTTTCAGTCTAGGCACCTGAGCAGTATCACAGCCTTCACACCAATCAAATGGGATTTGTGCGGCGCATATTTATCTGGTGTTTCCTTGTATCAGTATTCATGTGTTTAAATAAATAAATAAAATAACTCCCCACTCTTGACCGTATCAGGGCATTTGGCGTCATTCATTATCCACTAGTTTGGTTTTCTTTACTACCAACTGAATTTTTATTTTCAATGTATTCACAACTATATAATTATATAGATATTTACACTATGTTTTCCTCTCTTTAACAAAGGTTTCAGCTACATTTGCTGCTAGTCTTGTCAGTTCACCTGCAATTGGAGCTTATCTAGGTCGTGTATATAGTGAAGAATTAGTTGTTGCACTGGCTACTGCTATTGCATTTTTAGACATTTGTTTTATACTTGCTTGTGTACCTGAATCTCTATCGGAAAAAGTACGTATTGGTCATTTGTGCTCTGTAACTACATTGGGTGGACCAGTTGGTAAATTCTCATGGGGTAAAGCTGATCCTTTTGCAGTAAGATTATATTCTCTTTAATATGCTTTAGTACTACTATTATTATTATTTCACAACCTTATATGGAGTCGTTTTTTGGGAGAGATCCTAATAAAAGGCGGGCTCAAAACCTGTTCACAACCGATTTACATAAACGTACTATATTGATCGTATTTATTCATTGTTATTATTGGTTGAGATTGTATCGAATGAATTTATTTTTATTTTTCATTGGGGATTTGTTCGTTACACAAGGTGTTTACCAGTACTGTTAATGGTATGTGGGCAGTCCTCGTTTCCTGGATGCCCACACCATCGGGAGATACTTCTCGCTATAGTACTTGAGAGAGAGAAAGGTGATTAGCAGTTATCTTAGCGACTTATAAGCATAATTGTAGTGTTCAAGAGATAACTGCTTGAAGTCAGTTACGACGTTTTTGTGGTTTCATGGACCAAATTGATAATTTTGAAAACTACTACTTCTTTTGGATGGAGAGGGTGGGTGAGAATACATGGTCATAATTGAAGAGATCTTTAAGAATAATCATCAAAAAACGCGTTTAGAAAGCTTATAAAATAAGATTCGTTCACCAAATACTTCAGTTCAAGCTAATGATACTCTCTGGCTGCTCAAACTAAAGTGGATAAGATGGTGTTCGAACCTAGGGCTTAATAGTTAAAAGTCAAACACCTTAACAAACTTGGCCACCACTTTGTGTAAGCAGCACAATAGACCTGTTCCACAGAATCAAATAAACGAATAGGTGCGTGTTGAGTTAACTATTGTTGTTATTCATTATTTAAGCACATAAATATTGGTACAAGGATATGTGCCACATATGTCATTCAATTCAATGTGAGGGCTGGGATATTGTCCAGGTGCCCAAACTGAAACAGGTTGTTTTCTTTTGGGGCCACACCCGGATCCTTCGACCTAAAGGTCTAATCCATAAGACACCCGAGCAACGTTAGAAGATGCAATCCCATGGCAGCCGGTGACCAATAATTCTTTCATGCACCATTTGTTCCCTCAGGTCACTGAAGCCCATGTACACCATTGGTTTAGAGCTAGGGTTTTCCAACTCCCCTAGGTGAACTTTCCGTGTCCACCGGCCCAGTTAAAGCTTCGTACATTCGCTTTTCGTCCTCTCATTTTCATAAACAACTGTAACACCACGAGAAGGCAGTGAGTAGGACTTCCCTGGCAGAAGCTATTTACGCGTGGCCATGTGAGAGCATTTTGAGAGGGAGAGCGGACTCTCCCCACTCTCGGCCATACCAAGGCATTTGGGGCTAGTTTATGTTTGATAAATCTTCGACTCAGCAGTCAGAAAAGGGAGAAAACAACTCTAAAAAACAGTATAAAGGCACTTGTATTTTTACTCTCTCATTAAATCAATACACACAAATATATCTATATATATATATTAACTAGCACTGGATTTATTGATCGTCATACGTATACATGAAATCCATTAGTTGGACAATGACATGTGAATAGTGTGTATTGTGAAAGAAAGAAAAGACTAAATGTGCACATATGTTTACCGTACCTATACATATATGGTATACAAAATTGACCTTCTTCTCTATGTAATTCACTACTTTTCAACAAATGACTAATATATATTCAATATTCAATTAAATTGATCAATTTATATAAATTTGATCACCTTTTAATAAGTTTCTATTATGGTTTGTTGTTTTCTATCACATTCTTCGGCAATATAAGTAGTATTGTAGTGAATGAGAACACAAGTCGGGGACAATCGAATGTATTTGAACATATAAAATTACAGAATGACTTAGTAAAATCTAAAAATCATACATTAAATACTTCATTTGTAAAATGTCAATCAATTGTCTGGAACTTGACTGTTCCTTTACAAATGTCAATCAATCGTCTCACAAAATTGTCATTTCATTTTAATTGCGTGAGAGCTATGATATTGCCCAGGTGCCCAGACCGAAGCAGGTGGTTTTCGTAGGGGGTCACGCCCGGAGCCTTTGACATAAAGGTCCGACCAACAAGGCAATGAAGCATCATGAGGAGATACAGTCCCATGGTAGCCGGTGACAAACAGTTGTTTCATACACCATTTTCCCCTCAGGGTACTGGAGCCCATGTTCACCATTGGTTTGGAATCAGGGTTCTCCCATTCCCCTAGGTAAACTCACTGTGTCCACCGACTCGGTTAAAGTGGCGGACATTCGCTTTCGATCCTCTCAATTTAGCGAACAACACCCCTACCACGATTAGGTGATCAGTAGGACTTCCCTGACAGTGGCTATATACGCGTGGCCATATGAGAGCATTTGGAGAGGGAGAGCTGACTCTCCTCACTCTCGATCGTACCAGGGCATTTGGGGGACAATTATTTTACAGTTTCTTTCTTTTTTTTCCTTAGATTTTATAGTAAATTTAAGTCAAATGATTGACACCTAATATTATAGTTATATTATTTCTTTAAATTGATTTGATCTCTAAAATTCTCTCCCCATTTTTTGTTTTCATAATCGATTATTTGAAATAATAAAAAAAAGCATATTGAAATGTTTACATTGTATACAATTCGATATATGATTTTTTTTTTTAAAAATTAAATTAAATCACGCGGATTTTTCAAAACTAAACGAAACAAAAAGGAGTTAAAGAATATAAGAGTAATAAACTATGGTTGTTTTGTCGATAATGCTTCTTCGTTGTTTTTGTATGTGATACATGCAACTTGACTAAAATGTTTAGAACGTGAATACATTAGTTAATCAGGAAGGGATTTTTATGGAGATTTCAGTATTTTACATAGTTGAAATCATAAGTCAATTAAAGCTAGACCATCATGAAAAACCTGAAAGTACTGGATGACCGTTTCGTCTTATTATGAGACTCCTCAGTGGTAGTACACATCCACGATCCCTCCTCATGAGATTCGAACCCAGAATCTACCAGTCTCGTTCCACAGCACTTAACTTTTATATTACATAAACAGTGTAATATCTAATGAATTCATTATTAAAAGTATGAACTAATTTTAGCTGAACAATTGTTGAAAAGTGTTATTTTATTTCATTATATGACTTTGAAACTGTACTCATTCACAGCCCCCAAATGCCATGGTACGGCCGAAAGTGAGAAGAGTCCGCTCTCCTTCTCGAAATGCTCTCACATGAACATGCGTATATATCCCCTGCCAGGGAAGTCCTACTCGTGGCGGGGGTGTTGTTTGCAAAATTGAGAGCATCAAAAGCGAATGTCCGACGCCTTAACCGGGTTGGTGGACACGGAAAGTCCACTTAGGGGAGTTGGAAAACCCTGATTCCAAACCAATGGTGAACATGGTCTCCAGTATCCTGAGGGAACAAATGGAGTATGAATCAATCGTTGGTCACCGGTTACCATGGGACTGCATTTCCTCACGTTGCTCCACTGCCTTGTGGATCAGATCACTAGGTCAAAGGCTCGATATTTGACCCCCTAAGAAAACCACCTGTTTCAGTTTGGACACCTGGGTAGTATCACAGCCTTCACACAAATCAAATGAGATTAGTATGGCGCATATGTATCTTGTGCCATCTTCTACCAATATTTATGTGTTTAGATAAAAAATACTCATTCACAACTGTATCCAGATATCGAACTGAGTACCCTCAGACCCAACGGTGAACATGGCACTTTTTTAGTTAACTAAATTAGCATACTATGGTTTATATTTCCAAGTTCAAACAGTTCGCATCATTTTTTGATCATCATCTTATTGCCACAAGATGGATATTTCTCTTATTCCTGAAACATTCGAACTCCGTCGGTTGTTATTTCTCTTCATAGAACTGCAGTAATTTTTGTCAAAGTTAATCATTATGCAGAATATTTGCTTATTATTGGTTTATGATATGAATTACGAATAGAGCAATTTTCATAAAACCATGTATGTTGTTCTCGGAGATGGATTGTTAACTTAGTTGTGAAGTTTCATGACAACACTGTAGTTTATAGACGATCTTTAAGCAACAATAAAGTAAGCATGAGAGTATTCACCTACTTATTTAGGTTTAAAAAGGGGTTACAAATTAGTGTGGGGAATTAGGATTTAGAGGATTAGGGTTTTGATCACCAATAGATATCACCTATAATACCGAAATGCTATCTAACTGTAAGGTTAAATGAATTTCACGCCAAAATTCAAGACTTTCTATTTTAAATCTGACTGGTTTGTCCAGAAATTATAGGCTTGTCGTTTCTATTTCCATTTTGAACACAACGACGTTATGTTGTACGTTAATGTCAAAATTCTAATTGTTCGCTCCTCATTATTGTAAGTGCTAATGATGTCGTGTCTCGAAGAACAATTAATGCTTCACAACTAAGCCAACCACCTAGCTCAAAGAACTCAACACCTCCAATAATTGGTGTTTTCCTTAAGTTTATATATTACTTATAGACATTTATTATTTATCTAAACACATAAATATTGGCACAAGGAAGCACCAGATAAATATGCGCCGCACAAATCTCATTTGATTTGTGTAAGGGCTGTAATACTGTCCAGGTACCTAGACTGAAACAGGTGGTTTTCTTAGAGGACCACACTCCGAGCCTTTGACCTGAACGTCTAGTCCACAAGGCACTGGAGCATCTTAAGGAGATGCAGTCCCATAGTAGCCAGTGACTAACAATTGGTTCATACGCCACTTGTTCCCTCAGGATACTGGAGCCTATGCGCAACATTGGTTTGGAATCAGGGTCCCCCAACTCATTTAAGTGGATCCCCCGTGTCCACCGATACGGTTAAAGCGTCGGACATTCGCTTTTGATCCTCTCAATTTCGTAAACAACAGTAATGCCACGAGAAGACGATCAGTAGGACTTACCTGGTAGAGGCTATATATTCGCGTGGCCATATGAGAGCGTTTCGAGGGGGAGAGCGGACTCTCCGCACTCTCGGCCGTACTAGGGCATTTGGGGGCCTTTTACTTATAAACAAAATTTATATATCTAAGTAAATGCCTGATACTTAACTGTTTACTGTATGGGTTTTTAATTGTTTTTTTGTGTGTATATGTGTCGTTTATTTGTTCTACAGACATTACGTCAAATGACAAATGATCATCTTGTTCTTATGATATGTATTACAACATTTTTATCCTATTTACCAGAAGCTGGACAATATTCATGTTTCTTTGTTTATCTTCGTCTGGTAAGTATATATATATATATATATATATATATATATATATATATACGTCAGATATCTTATCGTTATTTACTTCCTATATTGTCTAAAATGTTTATTGAATAGTTGAGATATTTAGTTGAGTCTTAGGTTCGAACCCCTTCCCATGAAGTAATTAATATCCCTAGTGTTCGAAATTAGGGTATGACTTAATGCTATATGTATATTGATATGTGTCTAGTAAATTAGTTAAAAAAAATATCAAATCTGTATTTGAACACTCTGTCCCAGGACTCAGACTTTCGGAAATTGAGTAATCAAGTGTATATATTGTGAATCGTTATACAAAATTAGTGTAGCCTGATAGTGTAATGTATACATCTACATATTGTCTCGATTTTTTTTTACATTTTTTTCAGTCGTCTCAATTTTTTTTTTACTATCAAATGTGGATTGATGGTCAGCAGTTAATTAGTCATACACAACATAGAACCTGCCACATGTGTGTTGGCACACAAGTACATTAGCACAATGAGATTCCAGAATGATATAAGAAGAGATAGTACTAGTGATGGTAGAAAGAATATGTGTAGAAGATATTATTGGGAAAGAAAATATTGAAAATTAGGACCAATAGAAGACAAACAGTGGATGCACCTGAGTCATGACGAACGATTCTAAGGCTTGTCACTCAAAGCTTACAAACATTGGTTATGATAGTCGCACAGAGTAACCAGATGATATGTACCTACTTACATGGTTCAGTCCAACACTAAATGAATTCATCGACTGATTTCACTCTTTGGCTTGATCATCCCTGGTTTTCCTCTAACTTACTCCCACAGTGGCTATCATTGCTCATTGAGGTAGACGGTGGTTGGGCATACGTAATACCCGCTTCAATCACTACCTCAGCTGATAAAGATCCGCTACTTCATCGACTGGTTTCCTATCCTTACCTGGTGATCTACGTCTAGAATTACTCGATGATCATAACCCACACGAGCAATAGTTCAATGACACTTGTAATGATATACTAGTAATGTACGAATATCCTGCATTTTTTACAGATCACGTCTCACAACCATCGATAGTAAAACAAATCTTGACTTAAATAATTATCTTATATAATAATTTTTTCGGGAAATAGAAAATATTCAGTAATAAGAACTGTAGATGTAATCTGGATTCAGTTATGATACTGTTAGCGATTTCATAACCAATATTGCTAACTACATGAATAAATTATCTTTGACTTAATTACTTACTCCTGTTACCCCTCGTGGAGGAACATAGGCCGCCCACCAGCATTCTCCATCCAACTCTGCCCCCAACAATCCTTTCCAGTTCTTTCCAGTTGTTATTCTTCCTTTTGATATCTGCTTCTATTTCCCGGCAATGTGTTCTTTGGCCTTCCACTTTTCCGCTTCCCTTCCGGATTCTAAGTTAGCGATTGCTTCGTGATGCAGTTTAATGATTTTCTCAATGTATGTCTTATCCACTTCCAACGTCTTTTCCTAATTTCCTACTCAGCTTGAAGCTGGTTTGTCCTCTCCCACAGAAGGCTGTTGCTGATAGTATCCGACCAGTGAATGTTGAGTATTTTGCGTAGACAATTGTTTATAAATACTTGTACCTTCCTGATGATGGTCGTAGTAGTTCTCCACGTTTCAGCTCCGTACAGTAGGACTGTCTTGACGTTCGTATTAAAGATTCTGACCTTGAAATTGGTTGAGAGTTGTTTTGAGTTCCATATGTTCTTCAATTGTAGAAATGCCGTAATTGTTTTGCCAACCCTCGCCTTTACAGTCGAACTGACTGTCTTGACGTTCGTATTGAAGATTCTCACTTTGAAGTTAGTTGACAGTTTGTAACTATCAATATTCCTTGCTCTTACAATCAATCACTTCAGTGCTTGAAGTCATTAACTTCTATTCTGAGCCATGTTGGTAGATGCAGATTACTTGGTTGAGGTCGGCGTGACTATTGTAATCAATGGTTGGAGACTGTGTGTGACATGATTCAGAACCGATTACAATGGCATAGATGTATACACTCTTTATCTTCCCTTAAGCCGTGAGATTAAAATTGCTTCATATCTGTCTTTCATCCTATACTATATCCTTATATACAACCTATCTTTTATAAACTACTACCACCACTAGATTAATTACTTCAATGAATCCGGTGTTTATCTTGTTGTGCTAACTAGGTATGGCAAGTTGGACCGATGCATAAATGTGCCTAGTCCTACGTTGTAGCTGACTGACTGACTGACAATCACTTCATTCTAATGAAATTGTATAAATGTTTTAAACCTTACTATTTTAAATTCATTTTGATATTCTACAATATGAATTGTATCTATTCTTTGTTTCATGTATTCAGTAGTCAATTCATCTATTAAACATGTATGATAGTAATAATACATTGTATTTACAATGATTGTAATGTAAATACGAGTAAAAATGTTTACTGTTAACAAGCATTCTATGCCTTGTTGTTAACTTGACTTATGCATACAATTTAAATATCAATCAAAGAAATTACATTTCTATATAATAATAGAATGAAATGTTCATATATGAGAATATGTATGCATACATATGTATATATAGTTTGGATAGTAGATAGTGTATGGACAGAATATGTCTTTTAGGTATAGTAATGGAATTGTAGATAAACTATGTACATGTTTTTAGTTCATCATTATCATTGTTATTTATTTTGTAAATAAATAAGCAACATTTTTATTTCAATGTTGTAAATAAATTACTTACTGTCCAGTAGATAATGATTATAATTATAATCACGCCCCATGTTGAAAGTCGAGATTCTCATCGGAAGTTTGGAAGCCGATACCCTTTACTGATAGCCAGAGCAACAATGAATATTGGTATATGAAATGTCCGAAAAATGTTGGAAATTGATGGGAGCAGTCAAATAGCTGCGAAAATGAGAAGATACAACCTGACGTTGCTCGGAATAATTGAAACTCACTAGATGTGCAAGCTGGACAAAAGCAATTAGTTTCGGGAAAGATGCCTTTATACTCTGGCTATGAAAAAGATGCTCCGCATGCGCAGGAAGTTGTTCTAATGCTGTTCAAAGAAGCACGTAAAAACACTTATTGGGTGGGAATCTCATGGATCCAGAATCATCCAAACATCTTTCAAAACAAAGAAGAAGGGGATCACAATGAATGTTATCCAGTGTTATGCATCTACCAATGATAACAACAGTGACTATAAAAAATTAGTTCTATGATAGGCTGTAACCGATCATAGCAAAGTACTCAGGAAAGACCTCACCATCCTGATGGGAGACATAAACGCTAAAGTAGGAACGGACAACATCGAGTATGAAGATGTCATGGGACGATATGGACTAAAAAAAAGAAATGAAAATGGCGAGATTTGCAAATTTATGTGCATCCAACGAAATGGTTATAGGTAGCACAATATTCCCCCACAAACGCACACACAAAGCTACATGGGTGTCACTGGACCAAACTAGAGAGAATCAGATCGATCATATTTACATCACTGAAAGATTCCGAAGGATAATGGAAAATGTAAGAACCAGGAGAGGAGCTGACATAGCTTCAGATCATCACCTGATGGTTGTCAAGACGAAACTAATGCTAAAGAAGTACTGAAAAACAGCATTACTTCGAGATACTGACAAACTCAACGAATTCAAGATAGCTTCTGGTAAAAGCTTCAAAGGCTTAGAAGGTCTACTGGGACAAGAAACTACAATAGAGGACAACTGGAAAGGGATTAAAGAAGCATTAACTTCTGCATTCTGGGAGATGATTGTCCATAAAACACATCATCACATAGGATGAATTTCTATTGAAGTCCTGAACAGGATTCAAGAAAGGAAGAAGGAGAAGACAGCAATTAACAACAGTTAAACAAAACCAGAGAAAACCAAGATACCTCTGTATCTCAATGTCTCTGCTTATACCAGAATTCGAACCCAGTATCATTCACTGTAAATGACAGCCCGTTGTTCATGGAAGTGCTTGATCCAGATAGCCAATATTTTGTGCAGTTAGTAGTAGTTGTATTTATAAGAGTCTGTATTTCCTCCTAATTGATAGTAAGAACGACTACTAACCATTGCCCATTGGCATTCATGGATCATAAGTTGATAGCCTTGATATTTCCATTTAGTCTCAATTTCTTAGTAGATTTCCATTCTGATTATCTGTAGAATCCAAGACTGGTCGGTTGAATATGCGTACATCCTATCGTTAATGTTAACATTGGGTTTCGTATTCGCTAACTAACACTTGAAAATCCCAACATGTTATCCACTGAACTATACAAGTCCTAACAAACAACCAGTTGATATTAATTTGAAATGCTCCAATAACTGGTAGTAGGTATACAACTCTATTCAGGAAATTTTACATTGCATCCACATCAGGGATACCGAGAAAACGGTCATTAGTGTTATATTTTATATATTTCGAATTAATCATGCTGTTTTGTTTCAATTTATTTTTCCAATAAATAAACTATCCAATAGGTTATGGGATTCACTGAAGAGAATGTGGCACTTTTCATTGCTGTTGTTGGTATCATGTCATGTATTGCACAAGTAAGTACAAAGTTGATTTACTTTTGCTTTTTTTTTCTTTAACAAAGAGTTTTATTTCAAGTGGAAATGTCCATGTTAGTAATTACTCCATTTTTATAATAAAGTGTAGTGTTCTTATGGTCAAAGAATTGAAACCACTATTAAGGAGAAGTAACTAACCTTCAAGATGTATGAAATATACATGCTTTACCGTTAGTTAATTAATCATATATCTATTGTCCAGTATTAGGTGTAGATTACCTGGTTGCGATTCGCAAGATGATAACAACAGATGGTTAGAGACCTTGAATGACAAGGCTCAAAATCATTTGCAATGGCGAAGGTGCATCCATTCTTTGTGTTCTACCAAGTTATAATCTTCTGAATTCTTTATATCTCTATTTTTTTTATCTTTCCAAATTTGTTTCACTGGATTATAGTCCTTCAATAACATCTTCAAAACTTAATCTTACGGATTACTCCTTAAACTCTTACTACTTCTACCACTATGGGATTTGAATCGACAACTGCATCTCTGTGCTATTGTGGTATGGCAACTCGAACTGGTGTACGTACGTACGAAGTTCTACGTTGTGACTGACTGATTGACTGTCCAGTATTATGTCTCGGTACAAAAATAAACGAACCATAATAAGTGGCGGAGTGCTGTTCGGATAACTAATTCATAAAGTTGAAGTTTTTGAACTCAATCATGTTGTATATCGTCAGTGTGTATTTTCATTAGTTCTGAATTAACTAGATGTCTGTCTGTTAACTAAACGGTGAACGTACTTTAGAAACGTTCACTACGTATTACTGTATGAGTATAAAATATAGTTTGTGAAAAGTAGAAGACATTAGTAGGCTCAAGATTTTTGATCATAGGTATTTTCTAAGCATTGTTCACATATTGTTGAGCAAGTAAGTGAGTTCTCCATAGGTAGTCACCAAGCAAAATTGATTAGTCAGTTGATGTAATTGTGAATCTTCATCTCTTGAAATGTCTAAGATATGTGTCACATATACTCAAGCATCACCTACTCCGACTTACAGTGTAAAGGTGGGTTGATAAGAAACTAGAGTTGGTCAAACGTTACACGTAGCATCATCCGCTGAAGCCACTCGCTGTTTTGCTTGAGATATATTATCAGCCGAAGATTACCTTTTTCTGGTTGTCGCGATTATTTTGATCAATAGTTAAAGACGTTGTTTGCAGAGGCTTAAAAATAGACTATAATAGTGTCGATGTATTCAAACTTCATCTTCCTGTAGATTTTGTTTTTTCAGCATTCATTCCATACACACATACCCTTTCATTCTGTCTGTCTTATCAAACCATACTCCTAATATTCAACCTTCCTCACTATCATTCTAACTAAATTATGTTGGGGATTTCAAATCCCCAGAATTTACTTGGTGAAAGGCTTAATTTTGTAATTTTATTTTGAAAATTTGAATTTAACTGTTTTCGCGACAAAGGCGCTCTTTTCACCTTTAAGTCGTATTTCCCACTTGTAAAATATCTTAAATGCTATTGGTCCGTTGTATCATTGAGTGTACTATTTTGTAATGTTGCCCAAGGACAATTTATCGCTGTATATATACGTTTGAGTATTTCCTTTTATGATTTGCTTGTACTCGGCTGTTTACGGAATATATATTTCCCTACTTCGCCTTAGACTTCTTCTTCTAGTTAGCGGGGCCTGGGACAATGGATTAGATTAGCCTATCGTGTCACTGTGTCCTTGGCCTTCGTTTGTTACCGAGAATAATTGACTTAGCTCAAGCATATCACATTACTTTAACTTCTTTACTTTTCATCTCATTATACTAATATTATGTATTAGGGTCTGGGTTAACTCCCATCTTATTAATGACTGTCTGCAACTAGGAGGAAATACATTGTCTAGTGTTTCGTCATTAGTTTTCATTTCATAAGAAGAAGACTTCTTCAGAGTTTTTGATAAGAATTTATCAATAAATTTTTTATCTTTTCTTCAAATTGATTCATATTTCAGTATTTGTTGTCGTACCATATTTGTACTAATTAAATACTTTAATATGTGACTATTATCTATCAACACTTATACAATATCAATAACATGTAACATCTTGTTATTATTCTTCATCGTGTATACAATCATTCACTCTTTCTCTTACTCTCTCTCTCACGCACACACACACATCTATGTTGTATCCACACAGAAAATATCTTCAATGAAATATGTGAGCAAACGATGAAATAAGTAAGTGAGTAAATAATAAGTGAAAAAAAAAGAAGTGATTGAAAGTAAAAAATGACTAGCAGTATTAGTCGTCGTCGTCGTAGTAGTAGTAGTAGTAACAAGATGTGAAAATAAAACACATTATAAATTTACAATATTATACATCATTGTTTTGTTATTGCTACTATTGATTGAATTCCAGTCGTAAAGATGAATAAGCAATGAATAAACGATTTCGCCATTATTATCATCATATTCTTATTTGTAGCTTATAATTAACAATAATGATAATAGCAATAGTGATCCGATTGATTCTCAATATTGTTTATATAGTCATTGTTATTAATATTACTTATCTTGACTGGACTATAATTTGTTTACTTAGTAACTATTTATACTGGTCATTAAAGAAAAATGTATTCAACCTATCTATTATATCATTTAGTAGTGTCTTTGTATGTTTATTTCAATATTATCTAATCTGAATAAGTATGATTGTTATAGTATATGTATATATTATATTATATAAACACATAAATATTGGTACAAGAAAGCATCATATACATATGTGCCACACAAATCTCATTCGATTTGTGTGAGGGCTGTGATACTGCTCAGGTGCCCAAACTGAAGCAGGTAGTTTTCTTAGGGGGCCACACCCGGAGCCTTCGACCTAAAGATCTGATCCATAAGGTAGTGGAGAATCGTGAGGAGATGCAGTCCCATAGTAGCCGGTGATCAACGATTGATTCATACGCCATTTGTTCCCTCAGGATACTGAAGTCCTTGTGCACCATTGGTTTGGAATGAGGGTTTTTCAACTCCCCTAGGTGGTCGCACTGTGTCAACCAACGCGGTTAAAGTACCGGACATTCGCTTTTTGTCCTCTAAATTTCGTAAACAACAATAATGCCACGAGAAGGCAGTGAGTAAAACTTCCCTGGCAGAGACTATATACCCGTGGCCATGTGAGAGCATTTGGAGAGGGAGAGCGAACTCTCCCCACTCTCAACCGTACCAGGGCATTTGGGGCTGCAACCTCCGGAATAGAAGTCCGGTTGTTATAGAATAAATCATTAATATGATACGATTGTTTTTCCCGAAACTTTACCAGAAGTTTTATGATTTTACATTATGAATTGACCATCTATCCTCTTATTTATATATATATATATATATATATATATATATCTGCTAATCGAATCATGCGAGATATGCTCTACTAACACGAGTGTGCTTTTGTACTTATCAGGCGAAATTGACCTTCACGTTGATCAATGACATGGTTTGAACAATAACCAAAACAACCCTCATTTTTACTGCTCCAGGATTTAGCTCTCCTCTATCCCCTAGTAGTCAGTCAAGAGTTGAATACAACAAGTAAATAAAACCTACATATTATGATATCTAAAACATTCATGAATCTATATGCATACCAATTGCTTGACTACAAAGCTTTACAAATAGGAAATTATAGTTTACACAATAGCTAACCTATAATGTAGTAACTATTTAATTGAATTCTTCGAATAATTACTTTAATTATTAAGATCAATGTGACATTATATAATTATTACGTTACATCAGTCAGTCAGTAACAACGTAGAACTTCGTACGTACGTACACCAGTTCGAGTTGCCATACCACATTAGCACAGAGATGCAGTTGTCGATTCAAATCCCATAGTGGTAGAAGTAGTAATAGTATAAGCAGTAATCGGAAAGATTAGGGTTGGAAGATGTTATTGCATGAGTATAATCCAGTGAAATAAATTTGGAAACAGAAAAAGATGGAGACACGAAGAATTCAGAAGATTAGAATTTGAGAGAACACAAAGAGTGGATGCACTTTCGCCATTGCAAACGATTTTGAGCCATGTCATTCAAGGTCTCTAACCATCGATTGCTATCATCTCGCGAATCTCAACCAGGTAGTCTACACCTACTAGCATGGCTCAGTCCACTTATCAGTGGCTTCATGGATTTATGCCACATTTTGGTCTGGCCGCCCCTAGCTTTCTACCAATCTACCCCTACACCATAAAACTTTGCACGTTGCACATTATGTTGCATAACTACTCGTTAAGTATTTCATTCTAAATCATACATATGTTAGTGTAAAAATAATGATGAAGAACTAACTGAAGAGAAAATGTCTTTGTTGTTCTATTCGTTTATTTTAAGAAATTTCAAAATAGGAATTTTCATTATCATCTTTAAGTAATACAAACTTCAGCAATTGATCCATAATTAATTCACAATAATTTACTGTAAATAATCACTTATTTAAAGCCTTCAAATGCCCTGGTACGACTGAGAGCGGGGAGATTCCGCCCTCGCCCGCCCTGATTCTAAACCAATGATGCTCCAGTATCTTGAGTGAACAAATGGTGTATGAACATATTGTTAGTCACTGGCTACCGTGAGACTGTATCTTCCCACGATGCTCCACTGCCTAGTTGATCAGATCTTTAGGTCAAAGGCTCCGGGTGTGGCCCCCTATGAAAACCACCTGCTATAGTTTGTGCACCTGGGTAGTATCACTGCCCTCACACAAATCAAATGATATTTGTGCAGTGCATATATATCTAATGTCACCTTGTACCAATATTTATGTACTTAAATAAATAAATAAAAACTTATTTAAAATCTAAACTCTAGTCTTTGTACTGATTTTCTTCATACTTTTCATTCTTCTATCTCATTTATTAAATGTATCATTCTTATGCTGATCCTTTTTGTTTTATTCTTTCTTTCTTCTTTTGTGGACAGTAAATGTTACAAATTATTACCTATACTTATTTATATCATCATATCACGAATTGTCTATAATCGATTGATTAAATTATTAAATAGATCGACATTAAAGTATAGACTATGTCGAAAGTAACTAGTTGATAATGTACTCAATAACCTGGTCATGATTTAGAATTGATCAAAATACCGTCGAATATCTATCACTTGTCATTATCATAATAATAACAGCAACAGTGTTGAACACTTTTATTCGTTGTACAGTATATGTGTATGTTTATCACCAACTTGTCAGTACAAGTCATCATTTCATTTATTTGATCATATCTTCACCCCCAGCCAAATGTTAGAACACCGTCATACTTATCGCAGGCTAACAATCGTAGTGTTTCTTGATATCAGGGCTCCTACAAGACTGGCAGGATTCTAATCCTGTACTCACCCTGGATGGTGAGCAGATTGTAGTAGTTGAGAAGTTCGTGTATCTAGGTAGCTATATAAGTGCTGGTGGTGGCGTGAGTGATGAGATTGATGCACGTATAATGAAAGCCAGAGCGGCTTATGCCAATCTGGGCCATCTTTGGCGCCCTCGTGATGTTAGTCTGGCTGTAAAAGGTCGGATCTACAACTCGTCGGTGAGAGCAGTTTTGCTCTATGCTTGTGAAACCTGGCCTCTCTGAGTTGAGGATGTTAGACGACTCTCTGTGTTCGATCATCGTTGTCTCCGAAGGATTGCTGACATCCAGTGGCAATACCATGTTAGTAATGCAGAGGTTCGGCATCGTGTGTTCGAGCGCAGGGACAATAATTCAAGTGGTGTCACCATCTTGAAACACCGACTTCGGTGACGGGGAAATGTTCTACGAATGTCGTCCCAGATAATTCCACGTCGTGCATTACTTGCCGACGCTGGGACTGGTTTGAAAAAAGCGGATAGGTGGTCAGTGTATGACACTGTGTTGTAGTATGAAAGAAAACTGCAAAGGGCTAGCCTCTGTTGGCCCTTCACGACTCCTTGGCTGGGGTCCGAGAGTGCAACACAGGGACTACAGACGTTATCAGATATGGCTCAGAATAGAAGTCAGTGGGTATCCTGCTGTAACCTTCTTTTAATTTCTTCATAAAGAGTGGTTATAACTTTCTTACCTGAGAGAGTTCTTCTGGTTGTACACTTCAGTTCCCCCCATCATTACTCTTCTCTTTTTTCCTCCTTTATATATACGCATCTTCCCCTTTCCTCCTCCCATTCTCATTATTTTGTGTCGCGCATATGTATCTGGTGCCCTTTTGTACCAATATGTATGTGTTTAAATAAATAATAAATATTATTACCAACTTGTTGACATGGATCTGTGTTACACAATTTGTCTATATGTATTATATATGTACACTGTATTACTACTCCAACTAAAACACATGTAATTCAGTGCATATGACGTATAATTTTGTAGTTGAATTAACTAATCTCAGATGTAGAACATTTAAACAAACCGATAAATAAAAACAAATTTAGTCCAATCTATCTGATAATTTATTTTATTTATGTTTCATACTTATGACTGTAGTCGGCGTTTTAACCCATTTTATCATTCTAATGTCTTTCAAACTATTCACTTGTTAAGTCAACATTCCAATCGGTCTTCCCCTTGATTGAATTAGTTTATAGTTCTTGTTGTAAGTGTCTGTGAATAAACTTTGCGTTGTTAAGTCGTCTAAGTATATCGTAGTCAGTGTTGACGGTGATGTTTTCGTTTATTCAATCATTAAGTTGCAGATATTTTTAATAATTTCTGTTGTAAAATTAATTGGAGGTTTGGCTTTGTCTGTGTTGTAAGTTTTCTCACATCATGGATGATTGCTCTACACGTTCGTAGTATGATAAATTGATATTTTCGTCATAGAAAACTACATTTTTTCACATAAGCCGACGAAATCCTCATAATGAAACATTCTTTCTATCATAGATTAGGATAATATAAATAATAATTTCTCCTTCATCCTGATTGGTCGCCGGGCGCAAGATTAAAATTGTGAACGAAAGTGAAGTTTATCTTCATCATTGTAAAGATTTTTTAAAGCTGCTTACCGGAACCAATAGTCGTTAACAGAAGGCCATTGATACTGAATTTATAGTCAAGGTAAAGCCCCAAAATTCCCTGGAACAGTCGAGAGTGGAGAGAGTCAGCTCCCCCTCTCGAAATGCTCTCACATGGTTATGTGTATACAGCCACTATCAGGGAATTCCTACTCACCACCATTTCACAGTGAGGGTGTCGTTTACGAAATTGATGAAATGAAAAGCGAATATCCGGTGCTTTAACTGAGTTAGAAAACACTGGTTCCAAACCAATGGTGCACATGGGCTTTAGGACCGTGAATGAAGAAATGGCGTATGAGCCTATGGTTGGTCAGCAGCTACCATGGATTTGCATCTCCTAACGTTGCTTCACTTCCTTATGGATTAGACCTGTTGATCAAAGGCTCGGGGTGTGTGATTTTTAATAAAACTACCTGTTTCGCTTTGGGCACCCGAGCAGTAATCCAACCCTCACACAAATAGAATGACGAAGTGTGATACGTATATATTTGGTGCCTCCATGTACCAATTTTCATGTTTAAATGAATAAATCAAGGCAAAGTAATCCAAAACTCGGAATAGATCGTACAGCCGCTCTCTTGTGATTACACCCCAATCACACGGGCCTTACTATAACTCAATCATATATTATTTTCCCATCATATCGGTAACCCATATTCTTTCCATCTGAGTCGTTGAAGATTCACAACCTCGTTAACCGATTTGGGATATTTACTTAGCTATAAGTTTGAGTGTTGGCTTTGTGATCTAGCCGTTTGACTTCCAATCACTAGGTCTTAGGTTGCAAATCTGCTTCACTTACTTCGGTTCCAGTCAGTCAGTTGTAAATAGCATAGAATCTGGTTCCTGTGTACATCGGTTTATGTTTTAGCATCCCATTAGCACAATAAGATGACATTGTCAGTGCAAATCCCAGAATAATAGATATAGTAAAAATATTATTGGTAATAGAAAGATTAGACATCGGATATTCTATTCGAGAAGAAAATATAAATTAATCAAATGATAAGAAATTTATTAGGCTTTTAGAAACTTTGCATTTGAAAGAAGACAAATAGTGAATACACCTGTGCGATTGCAAATGATTTAGAACCATATCACTCAAAGTTTCTGATCATTGGTTATGATAGTTACGTGAACCTGTAGTCTACACCTACATCTAAATGACCCAATGCCAACAATCAGTGTCTCCATGGTTTAATACCATGTTTTAATTTGCCTGACCATACCTTTCTCCTAACTTCTACTTCAGTTTGCACAACTAGTTAGTATTAATAGCCTTCACAATTCGTGTGTGACACATGTCCAATTACCTGATAAATGAGTTGATCTATATAGTTAAAGTTATCAATCTCTTTCTCTCTGTTTTTTTTTCTTCTTTTCTATCATAATAGACACTTATTTTATCTTTATTAAATCGTATAATGCGACCAAAACGTGTTATTATAGTTGGTTTAATATTTGAAGCAATTCAATTAACATTATATGGTTTTGTTACAAATTCTGGTTTATTATGGTCAGCTGGTTTAATTGCTGCTACCGGGTCTATCACATATCCTGCTTTAAGTACATTTATATCAACTCATGCTGCAGCTGATCAACAAGGTGTTGCACAAGTAAGTCGATTATTATTGATTATTATTATTAGCTGATATAAAAGTGTTCAGGTTTCAGCCATCATGTCCTAGGTTCGAACTCCACTCAGTCTATTTTGGTTTCAGTAATCGATTTATATAGTACATGCGATGTCGGGCCACTTAGACTGGTGACCATGTTGCAACTTTATTCATATAATTCGATGTGCAGAAACAAGAAAATAGAAAGTATCCGGTATAAGAAATCCTGTGATAACCTTTTCAACCCTCTTGGGGTCAGTTATTGGAGCCGATTGGATTTTCTGTAGACCATCGTTGAACAGACGGCAGAACTATTAAGATGCAATAGTTGTTTTCTTGGGTCTTTCTCTTGTTTGGTAATTACCAACCATGTATGCACTTTATAAAAATGATTGAAAGTATGTTTTTACAGTCTTTCAAGAGGCAGTGATGTTCATTGTTATTCAGTACGTTTGATTGTTCATTTGCTTTGGTCTTTAGAGTTACATCCAATGTTTAAGGCGTTATGTTTATATTGAAAATGCCACGTTTGAATATGTCTTTGTATCCACTCTGTTGTCTTATAGGTTTTGAAATAGTCAATAGGAGGACTTTTGTATTCTTACAATATTGTAAGACAATATAGTATAACAAGTATTTTCTTATCACTAAGTATTAGGTAATTGTGTACAGAGAATGTTATAAGGACTAACTAGGCTACATGATTTCTTAACTAGGTACTATAATGTATAATCCTCACAAAAAAGGAACCATATTTTTAAACAAAACTCTTCTTGAGCCTCCAATATTTAAGATCATAACCTAAAGTCAGAAAGTTTATTGCAACTCCGATAGACGATAATCCAGTTCGAACCTTTAAGATTTCCTTGTAAATGAAGTGCTAAAATGGTGTGAGTTCCTGGGTGTTCAATTCAACTTTACGTGAGCAGTTCACAATTTTAAAAGTAGTTGGTTATTTGCAATAAAAAAGACAACAATTTAACTCAGCTACGACCAGCATCTACTTACTTACTTACGCCTATTACTCCCAATGGAGCATAGGCCGCCGACAACCATTCTCCAACCCACTTTGTTCTGGGCCTTCTTTTCTAGTTCTATCCAGTTTTTGTTCATTCTCCTCATGTCTGTCTCTATTTCTCGGCGTAATGTGTTTTTTGGTCTTCCTCTTCTCCTTTGGCCTTCAGTATTCCATGTGACGGCTTGTCTTGTAACGCAATTGGGCAATTTCCTCAAAGTGTGCCCTATCCACTTCTAGCATCTATTCGTGCAATAATCTATAAACTTGACCACATTCCATGTAGGTTCTAATTACTGTACTGTCTAAATACCATCAAAGCTGATTATACAAAACGGGATTTGAATTCGCTATTAACTAACTAAATGTTAAAAATCCTGAAATAACTGACTATAGCTGAACTTTAAAATAATATTTCTTAGTGTATATGAAGATGAAGATGCTTATAAGCCATATGACACCGACTTCCAAATTGTTTCCCAGTCTGCAAACGTTCTCTACTTACGAACCCTGAACAGAAAGCTGTTCGCGGAAAGTGTTGTGAATGCTTTACTTCAAAGCCTAGTGTAGGTATGGAAAACAAAACTATCTTTAAGATTGTATATAATTTTAAAAAATTCTAGATCTTTTTGGCAAACATGCGAAAATTAGTAGCAAAATTGATAGATTTTCATTCGGGACGATGAAGACAATCCTTTGTTTCTTAGATTTGTATCTTAATTTTCTAAAGAAAACCGATCATTCGAAGTATTTTCAGCATTTTCATGGTTTCTAAGATCTCTTTGGAGGAATTCTCATCGAAGTCAGTGAGCTCAACCTTTAGCCAGACTGTATCACTCCATATCTAACATCAACGTGATGATTATGCAATAAGCATCAATTTGTAATTGTCCTCATTCCGACCTTCTTGAAATAGTTGAATCTCCTAACAGTCACAGTTGACTTTAGGAATTCATCAACAGTGCTTTCTGTAACTTAAAATCTGAATTAATTCATTATGCTCTTTGTAATTGTCAGGGTCTTATCACTGGAATACGAGGTTTATGCAACGGACTTGGACCTGCTCTGTTTGGGTTATTCTTTTATATATTTCGAGTAAGTTGTTCAATTTTTTAATTTTTTTTTTCAACAAATTCAATTACATTCTATTCATTGAACCAATTATAGTAAACCACTTGATAATTTTTTAAATTTTAGTTGACTGTGGTGCCTTGGACATGTATTAAATATGACCGACTACTGTCTACTTCAACGAGCGATGTTTACTAATGCAGTGATAAGTAGTTTGAGAAAAAGTTAGTGATGACTGAACGAAAATAATATGACTAATGCATGAAGTAATTAACGGTTAGTCTAAGGCATCTATGTAAATGTAGACTATCTGATTGAGGGCATTGAATTGTAACCAATGCATCCACTCTTTTATCCTCCACTAAATCTTAAATTCTCCTGTTTTTTCGTTCATACATTTTTATCACGTCTTCTAGAAACCATATTCTTAATACCCTAACCTTTCACTATCATTAAACATTGCAACTATCACAATGCCCCTGTTATTGATCTTGCTAATTTCGTCCCATTGTACTAATGTGGTACCACAGTATCTTAAGAGAATGCATACATTATGCCAAGCTCCACATTAACAATCACTTGATACATCGAATAATTTATGTAAACCATAAATAATTATAGAATACATCCTAATATACAAGTATGATCAGGTTGATTCACCGAAAGAGAAGAGACATTTAAGGAATTATATATGAGTATACCATTTAAAAGCATATGATCCGTAAATTGTATTTGATTGAGTATTAATGATGTAGAGCATAAGATACGTGCAAAATGTTTCATCAGTAGTATATAACAACATTACATCGTTATTGATGAAATACATATTGTTATAATAGTAACTATTGTAAGCAAAGAACTGTTAGTAGTGAGTAGTGTATATAAAACATTGGTATCTTAAGTTTGTGAAGTATATCTACAAAGTTATGTTTTAAAATGGTACATAATGCCACACCTTTTCTTTAAAAGTTAAATACATGAATTTTATCCGCTGTAGTACAATTTTACATTTAACATCACTTTCGTTGATTCCAAGCACCTCCAGCTTGTATTGTCTCATTTCTGTAGCAATTTGGAAAACTCTTCCGGTCTTTCACATTGTCCGAACGTCCCATGTAGCTATAAAAATTGTTGCTCTGGTTGTTAAAAGGTGCATCGACCTCATGACTTCTGAAGGAACTCGGCTTTCATCATAAGACGTCATAATTATTCCTTTAACTCCCAGGACAGAGTTTAAATTGTTTGAATAATTTTTTCTGGTTAGCGCTTTTTTAGCAAGTTGGTTTTCTACGGGATGGGGTCGCTAACCCCATACCCAACCCTCCTTTTTTACCCGGGCTTGGGACTGGCAGTAGCCCCCGGAGGAGCTACAGGCGGAGTTAACATCACTTTCGTGATCAGTATTATTTATTTATTTATTATTGCTGTGCATTTAATTTGTGATCAACCATACTGTTGCATCAGGATCAGATATTTTATTGATTTTGTGATTGTCGCCCCATCAGTCAAATATGACATAGAATCTTGCTACATATGTGCATCAGTTCAAGTTCCCACACTACATTAGCACAGAAAAATGAAATTACTTCAAGACAAATCTCAGAATAGTAGAAAAAAATTATTTACAGAAACAAAAGTATAATGAGATTTCAAGACTCAGGATCTACGAGAATACGTCATGTGAATCCACGTTAGCTGTCGGGAACGATTCTGAGCCATTTCATCTTAGATCTCTAACCATTGGTTACAATAATCATACGGACTCCTAACCAGGTAGTCTGCATCTACGTAAGTCACTCAATCCACTTATCAGTCACTTCATGGACTGATGTCACGTCATAGTTTGACCACCCTTAGCTTTCTTTTAACCTACTTCTACACCGAATAAAATCACCCATCGAGGTAGGCTATGGTTGGTCTTATGTAACGTATGTCACATCCACCTTAATTAGTAGAGATTTATTACTTCATCAACCATTTTACCATCTTTACTAACTGCTCTTAGCTCTACTTGACACAACATTATGAAATTCAGTATTTTCTTGGCTATAAGAAGACTGAGAAATGTTAACTTTCCTGAAAAGATAAACTGTATGAGTGTTAGCCTATTATTTTTCTCTACATTGGAGCCGCCACTTGTTCAATAATGTGTTATATTGTCTTCTTTGAGTAAAACTTTCATTCCTATTCTATAAACAACTGTATTCATCAAATGAGCGTGGTTATCCATTAAGCATATCCAAGGTATCTATGGTTTTTGACTATATATATGTCAGGCAGTCAGCTACAACGTACGACCAGACACATTTATGCATCGGTCCAAGTTGCCATACCTCGTTAGCACAACAAGATAAACACCGAATTCATAGAAATAGTTAATCTAGTGGTGGTAGTAGCTTATAAAAGATAGGTTGTATATAAGGATATAGTACAGGATGAAAGACAGATATGAAGCAATTTTATTCTCAAGGTTTAAGGGAAGATAAAAAGTGTATACACCTATGCCATCGCGATCGATTCTGAGCAATGTCACACATAGTCTCCAACCACTGGTTACGATAGTCACGCGAACCTCAACCAAGTAGTCTGCATCTACCAACATGGATCAGACTAAAACTTAATGACTTCATGCTCTGATGCCACGTTTTGGTTTGGCCGCCCCTAACTTTCTTCCAACCATCTCCTACACTAGTCAGCATAGCGCGTCGTGGTAATCGGTGTTCAGGTATGCGTAACACGTGGCCAAACCATCTCAGTCGATGAAGATTCATGACCTCATCAACTGATCTACCATCATTCCCTAATACCCTGTGTCTAACCTCACTATTACTTACCCGGTGATCTCAGCAGATGCGAGCAATATTTCTAAGGCATCTGTGGTCAATACTAGTAACTTACTATATCTATATGGACCATAACTACTGCTTATGTGTTACTCTTCGTCTCGTTAATATTTTTTATTGTAAACACTCTTCAATGAATAAAAGTTTCTTCAACATTACAAATGAAAACCTTTTCTATTTCATAGCCAGATTAATTGATGCCTTTTTTTCACTAGAAAATAATACTATCCTACCTAATTACGTCTAAGTCAAATTAAACTTACGACTTATTCTTTTATTCTCTCTCTTGCGTTCTGTCAAGATTGACTATCTTACTAAGTAATCGATAATTTTTGTGCTATTTGTTTCTCTGACTGTCTGCGTATGTCAGTTTCAGCGTGTGTTTTTGTGTATTGCTTTATTGGTCTCATTTTTTATGTAAGTAGATTGTGTCTTCTCAAAGACTATTCTAGTACAATGTAGAAAATTGTGGAGTCTGGAGTCGGCTGTTTTTTCTACCAAGTACAAATACTATGTTCACTTGATTTTGAACAGTACTTTCCATGTACAAACGGTTAAGGATAGTTGTTGGCTACCTCCAATCTGTAATCGGTATGTTGGTACTCGAGCCTGGTAGAATGCCGATTGCTAATTTGCTACCGCTCCAATAGCGTTGTAATTAGGATACGAATCTTCTCAAATCACATCTTTCTATGTATCTGGGTGTGTGTGAAAGAGAGAGTTAGTTTCAAACTATTTGAATATGAAAAGTAAGGTAAATATAGTGAGATTCGTACATACAGCTCAGATATAATAGACCGTGTACACTATACAATATAAAACTAAAATAGCATCAATGTTATGTATTTTGTTAAGTTAGTATACACTTAATCAGAGAAACATGTACTTATTTATATTTGATAAATTTGATTATATTTCCTTTAAAAAGCCTGAACCAGATTGTCAGGTTAACACATAAATATTGGTAAAAAGGGGCACCGGATACATATATGTGCGGGATGTGATACTGCTCGGGTGCCCAATACGAAGCAGGTGGTTTTCTTAGGGGGCCACACCCCGAGCCTTTGACCTGAAGGTCCAGTCCACAAGGCAGTGGAGCATCGTGAGGAGATGCAGTCCCATGGTAGCCGGTGATCAACGGTTGATTCGTACGCCATTTATTCCCTCAGGATACTGGAGCCCATGTGCACCATTGGTTTGGAATCAGGGTTTTCCAACTCCCCTAGGTGAACCCTCCGTGTCCACCAATCCGGTTATAGCGCTGGACATTCGCCTTTCGTCCTCTCACTTTCGTAAACAACACCCCCGCCACGAGAAGACAGTAAGTAGGACTTCCGTGACAAACGCTATATACCCGTGGCTATGTGAGAGCATCTCGAGAGGGAGAGCTGACTCTCCCCACTCTCGGCCGTTTCAGAGCATTCGTGGGCTGATTGTCGGGTGAAACTTTAGATTTTACTTCAAATTCATTTTGACTGAGATTTTACAAATGCATTCCTCTTCCATGATATTATGAATTCCTGACAAATCATTTTATTCAATTTGAACAAGTCTATAATACATTATCCAACAATTGAATTTCACAGGATTAGTTTCTTTCAATAGTTAGTTAAGTTATATATTTTCTATTTTGCAATGTTACTACTTAATACATATCAGTAGGTTAGTTGAATCACTATCCTTACTCTTTTGTTGTTGTTATTGTTGCATACAATAGTTTCAGGAAGTTTCACTGTATTGTACTGTAATCTATGGCGGGGGGACTTTTAATTGTTCAATGTATTTTTAAACTTCCAAATTGATCATTTCAACAGTTAAATTGATCTATTAGATCTACTTAGTTCCCTGTTTGATTTGAACCCTTAAACAAAGATAACTAATTATTCATTTTCACTAGTGTTATTTATTTCATTCTTTATCTCCTTGACTTCTTCCAATTTTGTTGTGTTTTTTTATTGTTATCACTTGTCAACTTTCTGGGTTTTTTTTTCTGTTTTCGGTTGGTTGGTTGCCTTGATCACAATCTACTTTTGCTTAGACTCGATGTGTGTTCTTAAGAAAGTTTTTATCTGGTCTATTACATGGTTAAATAGATTATTCAAAACTTTGTTTTTATGTGTCTGTATGTCTACAAGTCTGTGTGTTGTATCTGTCTTCACCACCACTCCATTTTTTGGTTTA